GGTTGCAAAGTTCTCATAAAATTTTGAAATCAATTTTAGATATTTTAATAGTCATTAACTTGGAATTAGCCATTGGACAATTAATACATGCATTGAAAACTCATGATAACATTTGAGATAGTTGGTTTTTACTAAAAGCCATCACTATAAATGAGATAACTTCAATAACTAAATCTACATAATTTATAGGTGTGATGTGGATTATTATAGTTGGCTTAAAATAGCCATAAACCAAAATTGAAGCCTCAATCTTGATCACATTGTGGTAATTTTTTGTTATATATAAGATCTAATTCATGGATTGTACAAATGATTTATCATTTATGATTTTATTAAAAGTTTTGAAATATAGTGAAAATTTAAAATATATTTACTTTGGAAGCCATGGGTGATTCAAAAATCTAATGAATATGAAAACTTTTATAATAGTAAAAGGAATGCTATTTGATCCATTTAAGAGATGGAATAATTTTGTACATGGTAAAAATATATATATTAATAGTGTCCATGATGAAATAGATTCATATAAATATTTATGAATTGACATAAAAAATCTTAAAAGGAGACTATAGAAGCATAATTATGTTTGAAATTTGCTTACTGATATAAACTCTTATATTGAGTTAAAATATAAAATTTTTGAAACTTTTACAAAAAAAAAATTAAGATATAAAATATTTACTAGTTATCTTTCATTAAAGGTAGATTTGGAGGCCTCTTACTTAAAAAAAAATTTATCAAATAGTGAAAAGATAAATGAAATAGTAACTAGATTAAGTATATATGATATCTTGATAATTGAATAAGACATTCTTTAATAAAAGAATACATACTTGCATATGGTAGGGGTGATAAGAATCAAAAGAAATAAAAATTACCACCGTAGTATTGTAAGATTTTAGTACAATTTTATGAGCAAATTATACAAGCTAATAAGTTTAGACATTTATTAAAGTAAAGTCACAAAAAGGTCCTTAAAAATCTTAAAAGGACTAAAATGTATGGTTTATTCATTGAGTTTAACCAATTGTACTAGAAGTATAATTATATTAAAGATGTATAAAAGTATGAAAATAGAATGTTTGAAATTTATATATATAGAGTTGTGTCACAACCAAAACCAACTATTTCTTAAAATAAAAAGAATGAGGCAACAATATCTAGAGCATATAAATGATACGTAAAATAAAAAAGTTTGGACATATTAGCCTAAAGTGATTATATTAGGGATTCAATCTCAAGTTGGGGTAATTATCATAAAAAAAATGAATTTCAAGATATTTGGTTAGTAGTACTACAAGTAAAATGGATTTAAACCCTTACTATTAGACACCAATAATGGTAACCCAACTTTTAATTAGTAACATCTAATTATAAAGTTTAATGGGTAAAAACAAGTTATTATTATGTGTCTATTAAGCCCTTGTAAAATTCATTCAAATTTTAGATACTAGTATGATCCATTGCATGGGGAAGATGAGTTTTTATACTCTTAATAGAGTTTTAAATGTCTAAAGCAATGAAAATGTAATGGAAACTCTACTTATATAAACATAGAAATGATGCCACTTCAACAAGAAGAATTGGGATCTCTTTTGTAAATGTTTATGAATAGGATAAGCACATGACCATAATAATGCTAAAAATGGTTATAAACCTCTAATAGAAGAATAAATAAGTATTATGTGTGTTATATCTTTAATTTTAATACTAGGAGTTGAGGTTTAATTTACAGATACTATCAATTTCATTAGAATTCTAAGATATATACGTTAATTGAAGGTTTCAATCGAGAGATATCTTTTTGTATTCATAATATTTATTTGTGTAAAGATTAAAAATAAAGCACTAACATTCCAAACTAATGGGGGATTGTTGGTAGTTTAGAATATGACGTATCCCACATTAGATAGAAAGATTTAATTATTAATGAGTAAAGTTAATTTTTGTATTAATTTTATTCATATTTTAAATAATTATGTTTGAACAAAAATAATTATTATAAGATAAATAATCATAACTATTTGAATTTAAATAAATTATTATTCATAAAGATCATTATTATATAGAAGTTATAACCATTTGAATAGAAGTTTATGTTTGTTCATTCATTATAAATAAAACCTTTAGTATAACCATTTTCATTATTTTTAATTAGAGAATTTAAGGTTTTATTGTATCCTAACGACATAATTATTTTTAAGAAAATATTTTCATGCCTCAAATCCAAAATTCTTTTTTATTATTTCTTTTATCTTATTTATTTTTTCTAACAACTACACCAATACTTTATAGTTGGATGTGATTTAAAAATAAATATATTAAATTAAATATATTGTTCAATCCCTTAGAAAAGATTTAAATCCATCTTTTAGTGAAACATTGAAATTGGATATTAAACCTCTCAACATATTATATCGAACCTATTCACCATGATTCTTAGTTAACCTCTCAACATAGCCATCATTTTAAAAATTAATTAAAACACATAAAAGACAAACTTGAAAAGCAAATAAAAGTGGTTCAAGAGCATGACCAAATAGGCAAAAAGTTTTAACTTCTAATTGGACAATTCTAAAATCAATTCTCTCATATCTTCTATGCATAAAACATGTCAGTTTTAACTTCTTTCATCAGTTTGGTTGTGCAGTACTGGCTATATTTAAAAAGGTTTTTACTCAAAACAACAACTAAATTCAAAAAGAGAAAAGAGATTGGAAGAGTCTGTCAGACAACCTTATGACCATCCCAGCTAGGTTAAACACCATGCTGAGAACGATCCTCTACTGCTCCACCTGGTCGAGAGAGATCAGGTAGCTGTTAATCACGCTCTGATCACAAGGTCATGATTCATCAACCAGACTTAAGATCCTGTCTCCTTTGTGCTAAAGGATACAGAGGTACGAGCCTATAGAACAGATCCTGTTCAAGTAAGGTCGTGCCCATTTTTTCTTTCTTCCTCCTATAAATACCATCCATAACTTATCTGTCTTTTCGATGTGGGACTATATGGCTGCTTCGTGGTGGTCGTCGTTATTTTCCAAAGATTTTTAGCCTAGGTTTTGTTAGAAAATTGGCAGAGCATAGAGAAATTAACAGAATCTGGAAATAAAACATTTCCATTTCTTCTTCGTGGCATGTCTAGTTTAACAGCTATACCATATTTCTATTTTTTTTCCCTGGAAAAATGCAAGAAAAACGACAGGGTATTGCTCTCTAACATAGTATTTGCAGTATGGATTAGGATCTAAGCAATAGACACATAGTCTCAGGAGTTGTGCTTTCGCCCGGAGGAAACTTAACGCTGCTTCCACCTAGGTTAGAAAACCACACCTTGACACTTTTCACAATCGTATTAAAACTTAAATAAACAGAGAATTATATGTAACAAATCTTTTTTTTTTTTTTATTAGAGAGATTTGAATTTAATAGTTTGAACAGAAACACATATTTCTTCGATAGAATCAAATTTTAATTCTGTCTAAATTATAAATATATTGATTTCTTAAATATTTTATATATAATGAAAATTACATTAATTGATTTGTTTAGTCATTTTTTTTTTAATTCAAAGCAAATTTGTTATTTACCAATCAAATTGGCTGTGGCAATTTGGAGAAATGAAGCAAATAATAAAAAAATTGTCTTAATATGCATAAAGCTTTCACAAATAAAGTTGTTTTTGAAAAGTAGAAATTATATTTTCAAATTGTATTAATATTAATCAAATCAAATGTTATTGACAAAGCAAACTTATATAAGGATTGAAACCTCTCAAAAAGATTATGAGCTTTCAAGGGTTGGCTTTTAAGAACATATTTTGTATTTTTAACTATGTAATATCAACATAGAGAAACTTGATTCTGCATTGGAATAACATTAATTATGATTTTCTTATAATGTTCTCACATCATGCCATCAAAATAATTAGGTGATGTTTCTCTCTCCAAATTTTAAATAAAGGAGACTTGCCTAATTAGTATGTCCTAAGAGCAAAAAGAGGAATAACAAAAAAAAAAAAAAACTGTAGTAACTCATTTGAATGGTTTTAAATTTCAAATTAATAAGAATAAAAAATAGGAGAGATATGATATAATTAAACAAAAAAAAGAATATAAAATATTTTTAAACCAAAAGAATAAAAGAGAATGAATAAGAAAAACTGATTGATGGGAAATGTTTATATGTATAGTCACAGTAAAAGTAAAATTAAGATATTTCATTTTTTTAATTTGATTGTTTAAATTATAAATTAATTTACTAATTTATAAATAGTATTATATGTTATCAAAACTATAATGATTTGTTTGACCAGCATAGCAGTTTTTAAATTAGTTCATTAAGAATTTATATATAATATCATTGTATTTGATTTTTTAATTTAATAATAATTTTCATGCATCAAATTAATGAAAAGTGTAATCCATATAATAGTATTTAATTTAAGAAAGTGATCAAGTTACATAAAAAATTTTTACATCTTTTTACATTTTTTTAACTATTAATTTTAATAAATTCAAAAGATGAAAGAGAAAAATCCAAAAAAAAAATTGATTTATTTTTTTAAATGTTGAGATCAATGATTAAAATATATAAAATTAAAATATTTTACATCGATATAAATTAATCATTTCCTTTTAATTTAATATGTATAACAATTTTCTTTTTTCATCTCATGATTTATTGGGCTTGCAAGTTGCAATTTACACGATAGGCATGTAGTAATAAGTTGTTGTTTTTTTTTTTAATCTATGAGAATTGTTAGATATACAATTTAAAAAATAAAAAGAGGAATTGTTAGATCTAGTTCAATAAAGCATAAAATTGTATTTTAATTTCTTTTCATAACATAAAATAAAATAATCCATGGAGAAGAAGTCAAGATGAAACTGTAAATTTAATGTCTATATTCAACGGTCAATACAAATAACCTAAAACATTAATGTGATAGAAGAAAACTCCCTCAACCAATGCAAATTTGTTATTTCCAAATTAAAGCAAACTATAAATTCTTGATTACATCCTCAAATTCCCATTTTATTGGTTTCTACTTTCCATAAAATCTGCCTAAATTTATTACAATATTCATGTTTCTCATATCTGCCCTATGTCAGCAAATCCTCATTTTTTAATTGCCTGCCTTATTATGCTAACTCTTACCAAATTCCCAAAACTTGAATGCATCAAACAAGGCAAGTTTCCAAAACCTTTGTTGTTTCTAATTGCCTGGTTTATTTATTTATAAACCAAATGGTTTTTCTAGAGTTTGATAAACCTACCCCGAAGTAATCCAAAGAGCTTGAAAAAAGAGAAAAAAAATGTCCAAAAAGCTTCAAAAATCTCTCCAGGATTACCTCTCCAAGATCAAAAAACCCTCCCCAAATACTCAGTTCCCTTCGAACCCAATCTCTTCTTCCAAAAAATGGATCCTGAAAAGCTGCAAACATCCGAAAACCCTTTCTTTTGTTTTCAATCGTGACAGAAATGATCATGGTCATCACGAAACCAGTAACGACAATAATGATTATGCGGCGACGCTTTCTGATGTTGATCGTTTTCTCTTTGAGAATTTCAAGTCGTTGTATATCAAAGACGGCGAAGAGATTAATGAAAGGAGAGGTAACGTTAGTTCAGAAGATCATGAAGATGATTGTAATCATCAAGCGAAAAGCCCTGGTGGGATTTTGTTTGAATCCCCAAGGTTTGTTGATCCTCCGCCAGACCTTTGCGGGTCCAACAGGTTTTTCGTTGCTACAGGGTTGTCGAGTTCCCTAATCGAGGAGGCACGTAGCAGTGTCGTGACTAACACGACCATGTCAATGTCAGAGGACATGGGCTCGACCTCGACCTCCACTTCGACCAACAACACTACTGCTAATGATTCCAACAGCTATGGCGGCCATGGCGATCATGTCAAGTCTCCAAGCATTCATAACGAGTGCATTGCGGTGATAAAGTGTTCTCCAAGCCCGTACGATGATTTCAAACGTTCCATGCAAGACATGGTGGAAGCAAGGCTTAAACACCATTTGACAGTCGATTGGGATTTCATGGAAGAGCTGTTGTTTTGTTACTTGAACTTGAACGACAAGAAGTCTTACAAGTACGTCTTAAGTGCGTTCGTCGATCTGATCGTGGATTTGCGTCAAAACGACAGGAAGATTCCAGCGAGGTCTGGAAATTCCAAGGTCAATGCAAGAGATGAAAGATCAAGGAGAACGAGGCACAATGTAACGTAAGGATTTGGCAATTGTGGGGTTTTAAATAGGGAAAAAAAATAAGAAGGGGATGATGAGCTGTTATTTAGGTTGATCAAGAAATGTAGATACAAGTAACTATTTTTTTGATTAATTTACATATTATTGGAGTTGAGACTTAAAAGTTACGTATTCAAAAAAATCTAAACATATAATATTCTTTTTAGTAAAATACGTAATAAGGATAGGCAAGATTAAAAATAAATTAGGAACTTAAAATAAAATAAAAATGTAGATGAAAAACTGTTAATCAATGTTTATGACTTTACGTTAATTTCGAAGTTGACGTTGGTGTTGATGCAAATATTTTATGAAGAGGTGTGGTTATCAAGGAATAGGAGCACTTTGTTTATAATTTAGGGCATTGGATTGTTGTGGTTTTTGGTAAAATTAGGTGGAGAATTGTGTTGACATTGTCATTGCTTGTTCCCTGGTGATTAATTGTGGCTGGAATGTGCTATAGTGTTGAATATATACTATGAGAGAATTTGTTTTGATACATTGATAATGAAATTTTTTAAAACTTTAAGGATATTAAAAAACTGTTACATATATCATTTCTTTTTCATTTTTTATTATATCACAAGAAATATGTATCATCTTATTAATTTTGACAATAAGATTTACTAAAACGTATTAAGTATATATGTATCATCTTTTTGCTAACTGTCAATAAATGAATGTGATTATTTATCTTTTAGCTAATAGGCATGTACGACACACATCCATGTACAACAAAATCGTTTTGTATTCTACCAAAAGGAAAAGTAAAATCAATGGCTAGAAAATGCAACTAGATTGCCAATTTACCCTACTAGAGAAAAAAAAAAAGGTTAAGGCACCATTCAAAGATTTACATGCATGCATGTTAAAAATGCACATATATGCATATATTGGTTTATGTGATTTGAACTTAGGAAATATATAAATGTTATTGACTCAGATAAGATCACAGCTATTAAGAGCCGTTGACTGCCTATTTTTATCTGTATTGTACAAATAGACAAATACCATGAAACATAAAACCAAAAAAGATAATATAACAGTCATGATACTCAAGTAGTGAGTACCGTCATATTGACAGAAGTGACCATCTTGCAGGTTGTTGCCTCTGCTGATACACGCTACACAAATCAGGAAGCAACAACGTTAGGTTGCCTTTCAATCTCATCTCCCCAAAAAATTTCCTAGCTTCAATCTGTTTCCGTTGGCTTGATTTTGCTTTCCACAAAAAGTCAGCTATTACCAAGTGCAATCCTTCATATTCATAGTAGTAGCCCCAAACAATAATACTGGAAGAGGGCTTGCAAAGTGCAACATCCCTAAAAGTTACTGTCCTCCAGACATGAATGAATAATGATTTTGCAGGAAAATTTTCTGATAGTTGTGAAAAGCTGCAGTATACTTCACATAAACCCTCCACAATGATTGTCCTAATTCTTCTCTTTTCTGACATTCCAAGAGATCATTGCTCCAGAAATTATCATGTATCCAAGTCTCAAACTTCCATTTCCACCCAGAACAATCATTAAATTGCCAAATGGTATCCCCTAATAACTGTTAGGACAAGATAAGTTTCGTTCATTTGATTGTCAGACATTTTCTTTACTTGTTTCAAGGTACTGCTCATATAAAGAATGATACTTCGCAGGCAAAAAATCCTTGAATCTGTTACAGATGACAACATAGTGTAAGATCCAGTAAAAATAACAGATAATAGTTACACGCTAACAAGGAAAAAAAAACTTTAGGAAAACGAATGATATGCTAAAGAATATCAGGTACCCTAGGCAAACCAATGCCAGCAGTCTAGGTATGTAAAAAGCAAAGTGTTCATGCAACTTGTTTCTTGGTCGAGTGTTGCAAACAGGTATCCCTCTTAAATTATAAGACCTCTGAGGATGGCTGCAGCCTCTAAGGCTTTAACATATTAGATTGTTTCCCAAAATGTTGAAGTATGCTTAAGACATTTCAAGGGGTTTCAGAGAGGAGTGAGGATAAAGGACGTTGCCAGCAAGAATGGCGAATGGTAGTTCCTCTTCAGCATGTGAGGGAACCGCGACAAGAAAGAGTAGTGGCTACCCAATGCAGTGGAGCATTTTGACTATGATTAAGGCTTAGGTAACTTTCCTCACGGTTTATGCTAGACATGATTTTGGTTATTTCTTCTGAGTTCATTAATATGACTTTATTGTTTTCTCTACTCATGGTTTCACCTTTTTTTCCTTTTAACCGACTACATTCTTCTTCCCTTTGTCCCCATATTCCTTTGATGCTTGTCAAGTATGCTTCCATGTGCTTGGGCTGTGAACACCCTTTAAAAACAAACATTAACTCATACCAAGAATAGGAATTTAATTTTTTCACCTAAAAGTGCACAATCTGGTTTGAAGCATCATGACATTAACTGGACAATGAGTTCCTGAAATGTCTAAGGAAGATATATTAAAAATTATTTTTCAAGATACCCAGCTGACAATGGAATTTGGATTGCTCACATATTGGAAGAACCATTATAGCAGAAACATGAAAAGCAAAATGCATCACAAACAAAATCCGAACTTCATATTTAATGCTATTATTACGGTGACAACCATATAGAGTAGATGGATACCTTTCAAGAAGTGGAAGCCTCTCTGGTCCTGAAAATAATCCCACAATGCATTGAATGATGTTTCCAATGTTCATCACTTTGGACTTCATTGCCTTCATAAACCCCACAAATTCTTTATATTCTGCAGGACTAAGTTTCTCTTTCACCTGTAAGGCAATGGAATTTTCAGAAAACATCCTTAATCCAAAACCATTAGATAAATGCTATCAGGAAAATGAAACAAATGAGCAAAAGTTTGTTTGGTATTGTGAATATCAAGAGGAAAACAGCAAAATACAAATTAACAAAAATCATTCCAGAGAAGCCAGTTCCAACCATAAAAACAGGAAGGAACATGTGATATGCGATAAGCCAGTTCCTTTTCAATTAATTTCTCCAGAGGCTCCAAAGATGTGTTTATGAACTCACCATTCCAAAATTTACAAAAGAACACTCCTGAGATGTTTATAAAAGATATTTCATTCCCACCCCACTCCCACATCCAATAAAATTAAAGAAAAAGTCAGTCACTTAAGCCCCTTAAAGTGCCTGCTTTCTCCGAAGTGAAAAATTCAGTGAAGTGGTATGCAATGACCAAAAGATACTGTTGCAGTCACTCCAATACAGAAAATCACTAAACCTCATCAGGTATCAGCATATACCTAAAGCAAATAGAAGATCAGAAAATTTAAAGATTCAGAGTGGAGGGCAGGAACAAAGTTAACCATTGGACCTGGTCTCGGCAACAAAAAAGACTTTGTTTTCTAACCTTCACTTCAATGACAGAAACATTCACAATAATTTCATAGTTCTTAATTCAGTATCCTAAGTAATTTCTTCGAGTTCCCATGCATACTTATCAAATTCTTTCCAAATGTTTTGATTACAGCTGGATCTTTTGTTTTTTCAATCAGGCTCCTCTGTTTTTGTCTCATATTTTCTCAAACTCCTGAATTTGCCCCATCATTTTCACATTAGGCCTTCCCAATTCAATACTCAAGTCCAACATCACACAGCTTTTCCTAAGGAGGTAAGATCCTATTGCATCAGTTTGCAGATCTGACACTTTGAACATTTAAACTTAGGGTTTTTGCAGTTCATGCCTTGTAATTTAAAAAAAAAAAAAAAGATTAAGAGAAGGAGCCAAGTAAAAAAAGAATAAGTATTAACTCTTACAAAAACCAATAATCATATTCACCATGTCAATCAACACTTTTCAGGTAGCATTTGGTTGATGAACAGAAGAAATGAGATAGTAGTTTATAAGATAAACCTAACATTAAAATTTGAATTGGTAAAAATTATTGGATATGAAATCATGAACAAGAATGTTGCAATTTCATGTCACCTAGAAACCATGACAACTCAATATGTTTTAAAGTTAGCATGATGGCTTGTATTTGTGCCAAAAAAGGGTCTGGTATGAGTTCCCTTTACATAGTTGATAAATAGAATCAAAGCAAATATCAACACAACTAAATATTTCAACTGCTAAAAAACATTTAAAAGAAATTTTGGAAGAAAAAGAAGAAACATTTTACCTGAATCAGAAAAGCAGAACCTTTTGTTTCCTTGGCACCATGTGATTCAGCATTTAAGTGAACACCTTTGCTTTTCTGATTGAGAAACTTAGCATCCACCTCTGCAGCTCCATCGTCCTTATGCAGCAAATGAACTTTACCATCCAGCACACTTCTCGTATCAGAAATCTGTAAATTGTCCTGTTTCATTGAACTGACTATGAAAGGAAGGTCACTTGTCTCTGATCTTTGGGCATCTGATGCATAATCATTGGAACTTTTATCATGCTGCAAAGAGTCATGCTCTATAAGTAGTACTTTGCGTTTCTTCACAGAACAAGATGGTAACTGTTGCTCTTTACGTTGTTGTCTTTCCAATAAAAGATCACCAGTCAAATCAGTTACATCATGATTCTGATATTGCATTTTTCCCCTCCCAGTAATTGACAACTTTTTCTCATTGACCATTAGATTACTTGATCTCTTCAACTTTTTCATGTCCATAGGAGTGAAACATGAGAGATTGGCAGGAAGAATATCTCTGAGCTGGTGTGAGTTGTTGCTGCTTTTAACTTCTAAAAGAGAAGATAATTTGTCTTTGGAGCGAGGTTGATCCATTGATGTAGACTGCAAAAACTTGTTATTAAGACACAATTTATATGAAGGAAAAAGATGAAATACAAATTAATCAAAAAGATGAGGTTGTGCATAGAAAATGACAGATACCAAAGCAGGGAACCTTTCCAGGTAAGATTCGTCCAGAGGCTGAGCAGTTTTGATCTCCCTTCTGTTTCCTGTATAAAGAAATAGCAGCATAAGCAGTATAATTTCTCATTTACACATGTCAAATAGTTCACTTAATGATGAATATATAGTTCTCATTTGGTACAAAGTACAGGATTGGATAGGGTATTTCTTGTTTAATGCTACATTTTTCAATATTTTTATTCTTTTAACAGAAGGATTGAAAAGTTAGTCAGATTAATTAATCTACACAGATAGATTCTATGATCCTCTGGATGGGTGGATTGGATATCATACATGGATAGGTTATATAGAATAAGACGAGTATTTTTGTTATCCATGCACCCAAAATAAGATAAAATAAAGACAACTGACTCATCAATTGCATAATATCCCATCAATTATCATAACACCAGTTTAGGTTAGTATATGATGAGCATGAGGTGCGATTTGTGACACAACAACAAATCATATATGTACATTTAGGGTGTGTTTGCTGCAAAAGATACAATAAGATAAGATGATATTATGAATAGGATTAGATTAAATAATGTCATCTTATCTTGGGTTTGAAGTGTACCAAGATTAAGATAGAATAATTTTATTTATTGGTCAAAATTATACTTCTTACAAAGTTTATACAATTTAAATTATTGACGTAATTTTTAAGGGTATAATAAGACATGTAAATTTAATCTCATGGATTCATCCTCTCCACTTTGGGAGGATTGAATCATCCTATGTCAAGAAAACAATTAATCCTCCTTTCAATTCTATCCCTTTCTTTAGACACAAACCAAACATGGTATAGGATGATCCTATCCTATCCATAATCATATGCAACAAATATGGCCTTAAACTACCAGATTAAAGTTGCTTTATGAATGGAGAGTGGAATTTTGAGTTAGCCACCTGTTTACCTCATCTTAGTAAGAAAACATGACATTTCAAAATTTCCCATGTAGCAAGACAAGAATTTAAAACTTCAGCAGCATAAGATTGTACAATTTCCTAAATAATTTCCATTTTGATAATTTAAAACTGAAATGTAAAATAACTAAAGAAGTCATTAGAGTAACTGAATTGAACTTATAATTACTGTCAGGTCTAGGACAAGGAGGGAAAATGTAAAATCAAAGAGAAGAAAATCAAGGAGGACAGAAAACTAGAAAACACCACCATGTACCAAAGTTAAAGATCCTGAATAGAAGGTTATGCTACCTGCTGAAGATTCCTTGATGCCCTCATCCGAAACTGATTTTGTAGCAGAACTTGGACTAAGGTCTGCATGAAAATAGGAAGAGGTTATGTAATTAAGGCATTATTGGTGACAGCACAACAGCACGACGGAAAATGCTATAATCAGAAAAATATGGAACCCTCCAAGGTCAGTAAAGAATTAGAGAAGTTAGTTTTAATTTTAAGCCAAACACCATTGAAGGTGAGCAAAAGTAACTGTGAATTCAAATCAACCACAAGAAATTTACGCATTCTAGTGAAAACAAACATTTCTTATGATTTTCATTACAATGGTTGTATTGATTGAAGAATCCATCCAAAAAAAAAAAAAGAATAGTTATGTTCACAAATTGACAAATGCATAACTTAAAAATTACTTGACAGTAAAATTTTACATCATGCTCCTAGTCCATGATAATTGTTGATTCATGATTGCCAACAGTGGTACCAGAGGAATTTAGCTGAATCTTAAAATCTGGAGAGGTGGTTTAGACAAGTGACATGAAGCCTGCTAATGCTTTCGTATGAAGATGTGACTTCATGAAAGATGGTCATGTCAAGGGGGAGGGGAAGACCAAAGAAGATGTGCAGAAAAAATGAAAAAGATCTTATTTACTGATCTAACGCAGTGTGTGGTCCTAAGAAAAGCACCATGACGTTATATGATCCATATAGATGGTTGGAAAAGACATTTTTAATGGTGTCAAAATCAGAAGAGGAGAAAGAAGAGTCAAGCAGTCCTAAGTCCTAACAGAAATGGCACCACGTACAATGACAAGCTCAGCTTTCCATATTAATAAATATGGAAGGGGAAATATGCAGTCTTATTACAGAGCACAAACTTCAGACTACAGATTTTTATGACTAAAAATTATGAAGCTCGGCTTAAAAAACAGCTCCCTCAATAATTTTTGACACTACAAGATTGAGATAGACATAAAAATCAAGGATACTTAACCCATGCTTTCCTGGCCTGCTAGTTTTGGCTTTGCAGGACTATAGCTTACTCCATCTCGGAAAAAATGAGTCAGCGTAAAAACAACATCCCCGAATTTGGTGTAACACTGCAAAAGCAGAGGAATTAGCAGAAGCCATAGGATAAAAGGGTTGTTCCATTTTCCAGAAGTATACCTTAATATGAGGCTGTATCCAAAGTGATATTTGAGACTGACGACTTGGTTGAGCAAACCTGTACAAATCTTAGAGATAAAGTAACCATAAAAAGCAAATGAATAATAAGTTGACATAGTTAAGGAGAACAAGGCTTTAGAGGAAATGCATTTTACAGTTGAAAATTCCTGAAAACCTCAACCATGCAGTTCCTTCTGTAAATAGATTATAAGAACATTCTATGCAAATAGTAATCAATAATATATAAACCAGCAAACCAGTTAAAACAACACGGAAAAATAAAAAGTTTCATATATAATCTGCAGGTATTAACTGACAAGTGTTATATATATTATGTTACAACAAAGCAAGACCTAACAATTTGAACATAATCAACAGCTGAGCAGCTCAAAATTATATAGAACAACTTCGTGAATAATTCACAATCAGAACAAATGGATCAATTCACAAAAACAAAGCACTTGTGGACCTTTAACTTCCCAAGTTTACAGCTCAGATTTTAGTTTTCCAACCTTTGGAATGTTTTTCCTTCTTACTCGGTCAGGTCTTAGGCTGGTCAAGGTAAACTTAGGAAGTACAGCGTTAATAAGTACTACAACATGGACAAATGCTTAGATGAAAGATCAAAAGGACATAGAAGACGAAAACCTCTCATCACAAAAGATGATCGCTCCATAATCATGACGGTGACGAATAACACGTCCGATGGCCTGATTTACAGCTCTTAATGCTTGTTGATTGTACCACTCTTCTCCAGTTAACAACTTAAGCATCTGAGGACATTAGTACGAATTTTGTTTACTTTAACAACGAAAAACATTTAAATTTTAAAGCTTCAAAGACATCTTTCCTCAAGCAATATCTGCATCATTCATCACCTTACATCCTTCACTGGGTGATTGTGCCTGTAGGTTCAAGTACTCACGTTTGAGACGAACCTGTCATATTATCAATCAGAAAAAATAAAAAGGGAATAAGGAGGTTAAAATGGTAATGTGATGTCAGTAAGTGCACTTATCAAGCATACACACACGCCTTTAATAGCCAAAATAGTTACATGATGCTCATTCCACTGTTACAAATTTAGGAAAAGCAAAGCTCAAAAAGAATGAAGACTGTCAATAATGAAACTGGGGGAACTGGCTAAGCATGACCAAACCTTAGGGTCGGTCCTTTTGGCAAATGGCATCCCAGTGATGACAACTGCCCTTCCAGCATGGTCAGCAAAATCTAATCCTTCACTGACCTGAAGAAATAGAAAAAAAATCAACCATAGTAGATGGACTTCAGAAAGAAAATTAGGAACTATGAAGAATCAAAACAATTTGTTTAGTTCAAACGAGAAGCCTTTGAGGAAAAAAAAAGAAACAAAACACAAAGATACCACTAATGAAGACTTGGCAACCATTAGAGCCCTCACTAAAATAACAAAGATATGCTGCCTGAGTCAATGCCTTTATTATAAATTATAACTAATTGCACTGTTATACAGATCTAGAGAATCTGCAAGCATGCATGAGTAATAATAAAGATGAAGTTCATGATTGCAAAGAAAATTACTCCATCAGTTATTCCAAGGTTTTGTACCACATACAAGGTGCAAAACTCATTCCCGTATTTGGAGTGAGGAATAATAGGTTAATTTCACTAAAATTCTGCATCTCCTAACCATACAAAAATGAGCTACTAAGGAATGAGAAATCAGACAGTGAATTATCCAAAAAAAGAAAAAAAACAGACAAGAGTGCTAGAAACATATTTTGGAACTTTTATAACACAGCTATTTACCATATTGGAGCCAGAAGAAGAGTCATTGGTCAAATATCCACTGACTCCAGAGGCCTTAACACAACTGGTATTTGCTATTTGATAAAAGAAAGCAAAACCTACTACATGGGAAGAGTGTAAAGAAGCTTGTAAAGTTCATCGTTAAAGCCTTCAAACAACCTTCCCATAGTAACAATTTATAGCTGAAAATAGCCAAAAGAGATTCAACAGTTCTTTTCTGTCACCACGAATGTCTGGCGGGTGCAAGAACAAAGTTTTGCATTAACTTTGGATGAGAGCATACCTTGCCACGACAAACAGCAAAAAATACTGCTCCAGAAGTGGAGGTGTCCTTCAGTTTAGTCATATAGTCCTGATAAGAAAACAGACTATTATCAGCTATGAAGTCCTTGATTATGTTTAAATATTAAAAAATAATAATTAATTGAAATTTTCATGTATCTGCTACCTCAATTGCCAGAGGAAACAGGGAAGATTGTCTAGGTTCAATAACAGGCTTCTTAAATTTGCATATTCTTTCCCATATGGTACTTGAATTTCCGTTACCCTGGAAGGAGAAAAACATAAAGTTCTATGGAGATAAAATTAATGGATTCACTTCCCTATTTCCTCTAACCTTGTTTCGAGGTCTTACCATGTTCTTCCAACAACTAATGCACTGGTCCAAAAGGTAGTAAGATGGAAAGAATACAAGCAGTCCATCAGGTACAATTCGAGCAAAATTGACTGGAAAATTTCAAAAAAGAAAAAAAAAGGAAAAAGGATACTGTTACTGAAACATTCTGACTAATGAAGCAAACCTTTATGTCATCAATTGTCATAAACTGAAGCATAGGACAGGCGTCACTGCACAATTTGAGCACAACACATCAAACCTATGTGGCTAAATAAAGGGCTTCTTTCTTGGAAAGTAGTGAACAACTTATTTTTATGAAGAAGTTTAGAAAGCCCTCTTAAATCAGAGCATTAGACCGTAGTTAGTATTCCCTCATTTAAATAATGTGCTCTTTCTTTACCAAATCTAAATCTTTTGGATTTGTCTACCTAGCCCACCAGGCTAGAGAAACTCATAGCACATCTTTATCTTCAGTCAAATGGTCTGCCACTGAGCTATAGACATATTGGCAACCCTCATTGCACATTTTATCTAAATAACAATGACCTGCTCCTACCTTTATTCATAGCAATTGTACATTCAATGCATTCTCTCTAGTCCAATAACATGATCAAGTTGCAGACAATCGATAGCCTTTCTACAACCAATAATGTTCAAATTGCTCACTGTATTGAAAAGCTGTGAAGAGATCCATGGCCTAGTACTGATTGTTTTGCCCTTAGCACATCAAACTATTACCAATGATAATGTTCACATACCAATAGCATTCCCAAGTTCTTGTTTGTATTCTGGAGAATCACGATTCTGGTAAGATGAATTGAAGGGGCGACCTGATGGACCAAGTGGGACAACTCCAGCCCATATCTGATTTGAGGATATCACATGAGGATTTTCCAACCGAACAGGAAAATCTCTGAGATTTCAAGCAAAAGAATTTTCTCTTCAGTAATTAATATTCAATAAAGACATAGCATAACAGATGTAGAAAAAATGAAACCGTGCAACTTACAATTTCAATTCTTGTGCAAATGAATCCAACGGAGATAATGTACCAGATGTTAATACAATAGATCCAACACCCATTTTGGAGAACTCTTGCATAGCAATTCCTGGATTGAAGCACCACCAGCTGAGTGTCCTGGATGACTTACCTGCCAAAAGTCAAATAGATGAAAATATAATTAACTTTTACAACAAGGCATATCAAAAGATCATTGCAGCAGCATACTGGTTTCCAGGACCAGAACACTATGCTGCCCTAATATGTTTTATTGTACCAAAGAAGCTATATGAAGCACATTAATTGTTGTCAAAAAGTGAACAAATTCAGAGTAGAAAAGGAAAACAATGGACTTATATTTCCAATAACAACCGTATAAATTTTGAGATAGAACTTTACAAGAAGAAAGAATTTGCACCTATAGTGCACTTTTTTATGCACAAAAATCTTGCTACTTTTATCTGCCCATTTTTGGTATATAGGAGGCTAGAAGATTGAAGATTCTCATCTTGCAACCAAATGTTTTCTCTATTCTATACGACCATAATAAGCAGAGTTTTGAACAAGATACATGGAAATAACAAGAACCTTGTTGCTGACAAAAAGATCTGACTACAAACTCCTGCTAACTCCAGCATGTTGTGACTAAAGTCACATGCATACACCAATAAACACTAATAGCTTTCAAGTTTTTTATTGTTCATTTTTTCCTAAATCCTTACCTGTCCCAGTCAGTGCTTCATTTAGATTAGGAAAAAAGAAAGAAAAAATAACCTTATTCCTTTATGTATTTCTTAATAAAATGAATTTTCTTCATGAGGTTCCTACAAAAGGTAGTGTTAATATGCCCATTTGTCATATATTCACACCTGACAATCAGAATGATATTTTAAGAATGTAAACATGATTTAACAGAGAAGTACGTCAAATCAAACATAGAGGGAAAATACATATATAGAACAAATTAAAGACAAATGCCAACAATTCGGTCTCTCAATTACCTTTGAAGATATCTGTAGCATTCACCTCATCCTCTCGCACATGAACCTGAAATCAACCAGAAAAGTTAAAATTTAAAATGCCTAATATAGGGATGAATAACATGGAAACAAGCCTACAGTAGACAAGGTAATGAGAATGACATCCACTCTATCTCAACTACATTAATTCAAAGCATTGAGTTCCAAGCTTACACGATAACAATGAGCATGACCATTGCCCTTATCTCTGAATATACTTTTAAGGATGCTGCTGATGCTTTCCAGCCTACAGCCACTTCCCTTTGCATCCTGCTGCTTATCTTCCTCGAGCAGCACAGCAGCATCCTCAATTATATCAATAAGATTAGAAGCAGTTTCATGCGTGATATTGAGATCAGAAAGTAGTTCATAAATGTATGGCCCAGGCTTGGTAAATCCAAGTTCCTTGGATTCAATGGGCACTTCAGCAATTCGCTTCTGAAGTTTCAAAAGAAGAGCTGCAAATATGCAGAGTTTAGCACTAAAGAAATATCTGGTGATGATGTACCATATATATATATATATATATATATTAACACACACGTGCATGAATGCATGAATACATACATATGATGAAAATCAAACACAATTAAGTTGAAGCTGCCAGCAAAGTGCCTGAAAGTTCTTTTGGAACCATAACATCCTCAACTTAAAGAACCAAAGCTTACTTAACACAGGAGGAAAAATACAAACTCATCCAAGAAAAAAGACTGCATTTAAAAATAGTGAAAAGTAGTAAATAGTAAATAGATGCATGCAAAAGCATTTGTAAGAACAGCAATGTAGACATATTCTCAATATACAAATTAAATTACCTCTCAGGATCGCAAAGTTATCTGGATTCCTTGATTTATCATTTGATTCTTCTCGCCTTCCAACAGCTAGGTCAACACAATTTTTCGCTTCAGAAATGCATGCTGTCAGAAGTCCAGAAGACAAGTCAAAAGAGGCTGCATCAGCACATATGCTTTCCTGCATTGTATTCCCAATAAGTCAGTAGCTAAGCTCATGTAGCAGAAGGCAGAAAGTCAACCAATCAGATCGATTGGCCTATGTCATTTTTTTGCATAACTAAATTCCAAGAGTGAAAGGAAGAAAGTGAAATGGGCAAAGAATACAAATTAGCAGCAGCACTTATGTTATCTTTAAAATTTACACATATGTTCAGTCACAAATTTCATATTTTCCTCTTACAAGGTTGTGAGCTTCATCAAATATCAGTATGCTGTTCTCCCACTCAAGGTTAAGAGATCTTCTATAGTCACGATCTATAAGATAGTTGTAAGGTGCAAATACAATATCAACAAATTTGTGGAGCTCTCGTGATACATAATATGGGCACCTTCAAGAAAAAAAAAATTGTATAAATTAGTAAGCAAATATTGTCAGCAATACTAAAGTTAGCAGTGGGGCTTTAGAACAAGGCATGCATTTAAAAAAAAAAAAAAAACCATATTAACTATGGAAAGAGAACACTACTGCAGAAACCTACGGCCCAAATCTTCTTCCAATATTCACCAAATCCTCTATGTCAAGAGGTTCATCTCCAATATGAGGATTGTTCTTCATATAATCTACAATAAAAAAACAACAATAGTGAACAACAGATGCACTGAAATACTTCTAAAAGAAAACTTAAAAAAAAAAAAAAAAGAAACTAGAGAAATAAGTGCTCAATTCACTGGAAACAATACAAAATGTACAGTTGAGAAGACGAGAATACAACAGTATCTCAACTCTTCCAGATTGTTCATATCAACCCAGAATCACCATTATCAAGTAAATAATTTGAAGAGACTTATCAAGAAGAAAGTTACACAATTTCTGCGATACCAAGATGAATCAACATTGATAGGCATTTCTTACTTTCTTCTTGGAGATAGGATAACAATCCAATGAGATACAAAACTTTAACAGCACTGTAAATATCATACATAGGCATTGCATAACAATTAGTACACACTCTAAAGCCCAAATCAAAATCCACCTCCTCCCCTTTTTAGTTTTTGTTTTTCTATAAATTACTTTATAAGCCTCATTAGTAGGAGATAATTGCTGCCAGTCTACATAAGATAAAAGTTGACATCAAATCAGAGTTAAAGTTGAAAACAAACAGACTATTCTATAGATGCTGATACATTCTTGCATTGGCATGTCTATGTCTAAGGACATCGATGCTAAAAAGTATAGTACAATTACCAGCAACACGAGAAAAATGAGTGCAATAATGCTTCTGATGCTTTTTGCAAAGGAAACGGCAAGCATTTGTCTGAGCTTTTCCTCGAAGTAAACTTACTTCGTCATGTATGCACAATTGCTCCCGAGATCCCAAAACTACCATCTTGGGCCTGTATTATCCTCTAGTATTCAGAAAGTCAAAATCCTAAGTTCAAAAGCCAAAATATAAAATATCAACAAGACAAATGTCTACTGCTACCTCTGAAGATTCTTTATTGGATAATCTTTTAATTCTCAAGCTTAAGAACATATTGTAACAATGATGATTGACAACAAGACTCAAAAGTTCCCTCACAAATGATATATCACAGCAAATGGTCAGAAATCTGCAGTATCTTCACCATTATCTTTTTTTTTCTAATAAAAGGAAAGCAAATTTTAGGCTGCATTCAAAGAAATGAAAATCCAAATGGTGTTATACCTTCAAGATTTTTTTCTTTAAGACTTAGTGTTTCTAGACAAGCAATCTTTCATATAAATACTGATCATAAAACAAAACAACTTGCTGGTTAGGCAACAGTAAAATGCAGATAAATTTAACAATGATTGAAGTTGAAACATAGAGTGAAAAGATTTCCAAGAAATACAGCAGGATTTTAGATACTCCACAGCAAAAACCAACAAAAATCAGGCTGCAAATTAATCTAATAATTCACAAACAGCTACAACTTGCCTTAATAATTAAACAAAGCTCAAGCTGCAATGGAAAACTCATTTATTAAACAAGCTAAGTATCAGGAAAATTATCCCCAACTTGAATAAGCTTGCAAACATATGGCTTAATAGAGTTTCATTATTGCTCAGCTCCAAAGCATCTTATATCATCTCAAGGTTACACTTCTTTTATTATCAAAACAGATATAAGATAAAAATCCAGCATTCATAAACTATTTTTTTTTTTTTAAAAAGGGCCAGTAGTTATCTGATCATAAGGATTCTTCCTAGGCTCTGGCTTGTAGAATTAGACAAAAGTTTTCAAGGAGAATGGAATTTTTTGCCAAAATCAGACATGTTTCATAAGGCGGCCAACAGACTTTAGTCAACCATATTCACAACCTACGCTAAAGAAAAAGTATTCTTCTTCTTCACAATCAAATGCATCTACTATTGAAGAAAAAAACAAAATTTATCTTGCTTGACTAATGCGCGGATGTCATACATGAGTATGTGACAACAAATGCACTTTCAATTTGTCCTTAAATTTTGATAATCACACCCCCCATATTTATGCCAACTTTGAGGTGTCAGATATGAATGCAACTCCAACATGGGTAATGACAAAGACTGAGCAAGATCAAATAAAACTAAGATAATGTAGTTAACTAGTGATGATGTTAAATTTCTCATAAAACATATTAATCACCCCCCACTACAGCAAAACATGCATAACACAACTGGAATGATAAGCCAGCAGTAAAGAAAACTAAATCATTTATTATCCTGTAGTGAAACAATCAACTCTGACCTGTAGTTGCTTCTTCTCAACTCTTGAACAACTTGCCGCAGTTGGCTGTGAGTACGTGAGGTATATACAATGGTTGGAAGGTTGCCAGCCTGAGATTGCGATGATCCCACATCAGATTGACTCTTTTTTTGACTACTCCCAGTTAAAAAACCACCCAAACTTTTCCTCCAGGCCAATGCGGCACAGAGAAGACATAAAGTTTTCCCAGTGCCAGTAGGACTCTCCAAAAGTGCATTACACCTCTGCCACATAAAACAACAAAATGAATACACTTTAAATTAACAAAATTCATACCACCAATCCAGAGTATCAGAAAAATAGAACTCAGAGAAACTATTTGTGATCACCCGACATCAACATCCAACTCAATTATGCCCCAAAATAAAAGCAATAACGACCAAAATGCCCTTCATTTGCATACCCATATTTTAAAACAATATCAAAATTTTCTTTTCTTCTCTGTTAACACATTTCCAAAAAAGAACCTAAGCAGTTAATTAATTTCAATAAACTAAAATATGATTTTTATGTCTTTTTCAAAAAAAAAAAAAAAAAAAGAAGAAAATGAGACACGTAAGCAGTGTTCTGTAGATTCAACTCCATTACTTAGACTAACAGATGAAATTCCGTATCACTAAAATGAAAAAAAGTAATAATAATAACACAAAATTTAAAGAGACCTTTTGGAGGGCTTCAATAACTTTCTCCATGTAAACAAGTTGGCAATCGTAGGCTTCGAACGGAAAATCAACATCGATTCCCCGCAACTTGTATGTTGGCATTGTCTTTTCTTTTCTGTTTGGAATCCGAGAAAGTGGATGACTGGAAATGATCGGGTTTTACCTTCGTTCTCTTGTTTGGATTGAGAAACAGGAAAGGTGTATATAAACCCTAGGAAACAGATGTGAGTTGGTTTTTCCCGCCATTGCGTTTCCGAGTAGCATAGGGGCTTATTTCCTGAGACGCTGTCGTTTAACAGTCCAAAAAATGAAAATGAAGAAATCTGCTTGTATCAAAAGGAATATGGTAAGAGTAGACGCTGTCGATTCATTGTTACTTGTAATTAAAGTTTTATATTTTTTAATCATGAATTTAATTTAGACTTAAATGAGTTTCCCGGTGAGCAAGATATTAATTTAAACCATGGGTTTCAAAAGAAATTGAAGCTATAACATAACGTTGTGAAATTTTTTTAGGATAAAATATAAAATTGATACTTGTATTATATTTTTTTGCCAATTTAGTAATTAAAAAAATAAAATTTATAATTACGTATTTTTATTTTAATTTTATCATTTATTTTAATATTTTGAATTAATATTATTATTCAATTTATTTATGTGACATGAATTCTCAATAAAATATTGATATATAAAAAAAAATACAGTGAACATCATATCATTAATTGCATATTAAAATTAAAAATTTTGAAATTAAAAAAATTAAAAAATATTTCTAAAAAATGTAACATGATTCATGAATTGTCAAATATGTTTAAGTTTTTTTTTTTTTAAATAATTTCATTTATGAATCATATTTTCTCCACAAGCAAAACTATAAATTGAATTTTTAAGTAACAAAATTTACAAGCATCATGACTTTATAATATATATACTACTAGCTAATGAAAAAATTGATCATATTTTTTAAAGTTGAATTTAAAAGAATATTATTCTTTCATAAATTATCAATAAAATTTTTTCATTTTTATAAATTACTTTAAAATGGTAATATACAAAATTTTAAATATATTAATCTATTAATTTTTAAATATATATATATATATCTAAATGGACTATGTGATAATCTTCTACTTTTGCTTGATCATGATTGTGAAAATTTTAAATTATTCATGAGAATGTACTGAAAATTTTTTTAAAATATCTCCACAATTTGCTTTTTCTTTTAAGTCATATATCATTAAAAAATGAAAAACAATTATGGTAAATCATAATTGGCCCAACCCTCATAAGTCCCATTTCATTTTTGAAAAGAAATTAGAAATCCGAATGAAAGCTCAAAATCAGCCCAACCCATGAACCGACCAAAGACTCTTCTTTCTATAGATCTTTCTAGAAGCCGCGGTATCTCTAGACATCTCCGGGACCATCCGATCCCCCAAAACTATAATTTATATTAAAAAAAAAAAAGAAAAAAGAAATAAACAACAACATAAAAAAAAAATCTAAAAACAAATAAAAAATTCCACACAAACGCTCCTTTGAAAGGCCACCAAACTCTATTTCGCTTCTTAAAGTTGTTTTCGTATTATCTCTCTCGCGCTCCAAAAAAAAAAAAAAACGCAAAAAGAGAGGTTTTTCAAAAGAAATTTCCTGAACTTCTTCGCCCCCAATCTTCCTCTCTTCCTAAAAGGTATGATCGCTAGCCTTCGCTCTTTGCAATTTCGTTGATTGTTTTTTCTTGTTGTTGCCTTTGTTCGTCTGGAATTTATAGATCTGTTTAGTTTTCGCTTTAGATTCGGTGCGTCGATCCATCTTTTCGCTCCATACTTTTAGCATTGACTTTTGTTGGCTTTTAGATTTAGATGCTACTAGTGATTCAAGTGGAAATAGTTTTCTTATTTGATTTCTATTTTCCGATTCTTTTATATGTAAAATTAGTTGATTTTGAGGTTTATTTTTGTTTTATTGTTTTTTTTGCGTATGTTCTCTGGATTCAACTTTTTACTTTCGCTGGAGATTTATTTAAAATTAGTTATTTTAAGTTGATTTGAATATGATACCGATTTGTCATTGCTAGGAATTGTCTTTTCTGATTAATTTTATTTTAAGAAGTTTCCGTTTTGAGTTGGAATCTGAATGTAAAGTTTTATAGGATTTTATTTGTTACTAAAAAAACCCTTAAATGCTTGATCAACTTCATATGTATTTGTTTCTCTGCGTGCACGTGGTAAGCACATGTCCCAGGCCATCACGTTGTCATATGGTTTGTGTTCTAATGTAAATGATCCACTCCACTAGAATCTTTAAATGAGAAAAAAAGGAAGGAATGTTAATTGAATCTTGTTATGGACTTTAGTGTATGTAATGATCCTATGAGCTCAAGCCCATGGAAATTACCACAGAATCTTGAGCTGCAATTTGTTGTGCACATAAATGAGAATATGTTTATATCACCATGATTTACATATTAAACATGTGATTGGCAATGCCATGTCTTGATTTCTAAAATCGTGATTTTGACTTATTTTCCTTTTGTGCTCTAATATTATATGTAATCTTATTGCTGTTTGTTTGGAAAGGTGCAGATCAATTTTGTTTTATTAATTAAATTGGTGCAATTTTTGCTGAAGATGAGTGTTGTCGGGTTTGATTTTGGCAATGAGAGCTGCATTGTTGCTGTCGCGAGGCAGAGAGGGATTGATGTTGTGCTTAATGATGAGTCAAAGCGTGAAACTCCGGCTATTGTATGCTTTGGAGAGAAGCAGAGATTCATTGGTACTGCAGGGGCAGCATCTTCTACTATGAACCCTAAAAACTCAATTTCTCAGATAAAGCGGTTGATTGGCCGTCAGTTCTCGGATCCTGAGTTGCAAAGGGACCTCCAGTCATTGCCCTTTAATGTCACTGAGGGTCCTGATGGATATCCTTTGATTCATGCTCGTTATTTAGGTGAAATGAGAACCTTTACCCCAACCCAAGTCTTGGGAATGGTTTTGTCGAATTTGAAAAGCATAGCTGAGAAGAATCTGAATGCAGCAGTGGCGGATTGCTGCATTGGAATTCCTGTATATTTCACTGATCTCGAAAGAAGGGCAGTTTTAGATGCAGCCACAATTGCAGGCTTGCACCCTCTTCGCTTGATTCATGAAACTACAGCAACGGCTTTGGCTTATGGTATTTATAAGACTGATTTACCTGAAAATGACCAATTAAATGTTGCCTTTGTTGATATTGGACATGCTAGCATGCAAGTTTGTATTGCTGGCTTCAAGAAGGGGCAACTTAAGATATTGGCTCATTCATTTGACCGCTCTTTGGGTGGGAGAGATTTTGATGAAGTTCTATTTCAGCATTTTGCTGCAATATTTAAAGAAGAATACAAGATTGATGTCTTTCGGAATGCAAGGGCTTGTGTTAGGCTTCGGGCTGCTTGTGAGAAGCTAAAGAAGGTACTTAGTGCCAATCCTGAGGCACCTCTGTTTATTGAGTGCTTAATGGATGAGAAGGATGTTAGGGGTTTCATTAAGAGAGAGGTGTTTGAGCAGATCAGTGCTCCAATTTTGCAACGTGTGAAGAGGCCGTTAGAGAAGGCTCTTGCTGATGCTGGGCTTGCAGTTGAGGATGTTCACATGGTTGAGGTTGTTGGCTCAGCCTCTCGTGTTCCTGCTATTTTGAAAATCCTCACAGAGTTCTTTGGTAAAGAGCCTAGACGCACAATGAATGCTAGTGAATGTGTTGCAAGGGGTTGTGCTTTACAATGTGCAATTCTCAGTCCCACATTCAAAGTTCGAGAGTTTCAGGTAATCTTCAACCAAATTATCATCATAATTTTGATGCTTCCGCTGAGTGTCTCAGCTGTGGATTTATCGTTAATTACATAGGCAGGCAGTTGTTTGTTATGCAGTATGATTTCTAGCTTTTACTTCTCTTCATTGTCTTGAAGATGGGGGATTATGCAAGATTTATGCCTTGGACTTCTTCCATACCTTACTCTCTCTGCCTGTCCTATTGTAATTATTTTTTCGTATTCCTTTTTTTCTTGCTGTATTTTGAAAACAGCTCACTACTTAATTCGTATGACTTGAAGGTCAATGAGAGCTTCCCTTCCCCAATTTTGCTATCATGGAAAGGGTCTGCTCCAGATGGAGGAGTGGAACAACAACAACTGGTTTTTCCAAAGGGAAATCCGATACCCAGTGTTAAGGCTGTAACATTCCACAAGACAAGTACTTTCAGTGTTGATGTTCAATATTCTGATGTAAGTGATTTGCAGGTCCCTGCAAAGATCAGTACATACACGGTAATTAATCCACAAACCTTAATCAAACTCAAATTATCTTTTTTTTTTTTTTAAGATTTTCTACTTCGGCATAAGAGTTACACTCATCGGTACAAAAATTTCTTGCTCAACCTTCTGATTTGTGAAATAATTTGTGCCGTTTGTTAAATGGCAGATTGGTCCTTTTCCAACAATAAGAAGTGAACAATCAAAATTGAAGGTCAAAGTTCGTTTGAATTTGCATGGGATATTATCCCTTGAGTCGGCAACAGTAAGTATTTGTGAATTGGCTTTTTAAATTTTAATTATAGCCGAAAGGTGAATCTTTTGTTCTCTTTCCTTAATACTATCATTTTTTTTAGCTCTTGGAAGAGGAAGAAGTTGAAGTTCCAGTTTCAAAAGAACCAGCAAAAGAAGATATTAAGATGGAGACTGATGAAGCACCTAGTGATACTGCTGCCCCCATTGCCAATGAGACAGATGTTAACATGCAAGATGCCAAGGGTACAGCTGACTTGGCAGGGGTTGAAAATGGTGTTACTGAGTCAGGTGACAAGCCTGTGCAAATGGAGACTGATGCTAAAGTAAGTGATTCTTCTGTGCACTTTATACATGCGTTGTCAGAATTGGTGTTGTAGCCTTTAAGGCAGGCCTACTCCTGGATTCCTAGTTTTAAGTATGGTTGTTTCTTATATGGAAGATTTTTGGAGTCTTTTAGTTTAGTTGTTTACATTTTTGGTTCTGCCTGTCATATAGGTTGAGGCTCCCAAGAAGAAAGTGAAGAAAACAAACGTCCCAGTAGCAGAATTGGTTTATGGTGCAATGTTACCTGTTGATGTTCAAAAAGCAGTAGAGAAGGAGTTCGAAATGGCTTTGCAAGATAGGGTTATGGAAGAAACAAAGGATAAAAAGAATGCTGTTGAGGCCTATGTCTATGACATGAGGAATAAGGTAAAATGTTTCTTACTAATTTGCTAGATCTGTTTCTTGGCTGTTATGATCTTAAAACTAATTATACATTGTGTCTTCAGCTTAGTGACAAATACCAGGATTTTGTCACTGATCCGGAGAAGGAAGTTTTTTCTGCTAAACTTCAGGAAACAGAGGATTGGCTATATGAGGATGGGGAGGATGAAACAAAGGGTGTCTATGTTGCCAAGCTTGAAGAGCTTAAGAAGGTGACACTTGTTCTTCTTGTGTTTTCTAAGGTTGACTGTATAAATTGCTTATCTGACAGATGTGTTAATTTTTGCAGCAAGGGGATCCTATTGAAGAGCGCTACAAAGAGTATACTGAAAGGGGAACTGTCATTGATCAGCTTGCTTACTGTATTAATAGTTACAGGGAGGCAGCCATGTCAAATGATCCCAAATTTGATCACATTGAACTTGCTGAAAAGCAAAAGGTAATGGTTCTCTCTCTCTCTCTCTCTCTCTCTCTCTCTCTCTCTCTCTCTCTCTCTCTCTTAATATTGGAGATCTAATCTTTTTGGTGCATTGTAGGTCTTAAATGAATGCGTGGAAGCTGAGGCCTGGCTGAGAGAGAAAAAACAGCAGCAGGGTCAACTTCCCAAGTATGCCACTCCAGTTCTCCTGTCAGCTGATGTGAGAAAGAAGGCTGAAGCGCTAGACAGGTACCACTATTTCACCTGCATAAGGTTTTGTTTTGTATACGGTATGTAGATTCTTGTTTTATTCATAGATTTCTGTACCCTGCACAAAGTAGTGTTCTTATTTTTTTTTCCCTTACCTATTTTATATATGTATATAGATGTTGATATCTATATATGAATTTCTGATACTTAATGCTGAGATTCAAATTTCGCCTTAAACAGGTTTTGCAGGCCAATAATGACGAAACCTAAACCAGCCAAACCAGCCACAACTGAATCACCTGCAACCCCACCTCCTCAGGGAAATGAGACTGAGCCACAGGGTGCAGATGCTAATGTTAACCCGAGTGCAAGCCCTAACCGCAATGCTGATCCCTGTGAAAATACACCGGCAGCCAGTGGTGAGGCACCTCCAGCTTCTGCAGAACCAATGGAAACTGACAAATCGGAGACTACTTCAAGCACTGCATAAATTATTATTAGCCTGCTGGTATTGTGATGATTTATGCGGCCAAAATTTGGTTCTTATGTATAAGTACTATTTTTCAAAAGAGCCTGTGACCAACTCTTGGGTAGGGTTTATAAGAGAGGCTGTGTTGTTTGGGTCAGTGTTTTCACCTTGTAAAGCCGTCTCTTTGCAATGTCTGCCGAGATTTGATTTGTTAAGAGTGAATCCGGGTTTTTCAAGGAGGGTTTTCTAAATTCTACGAGAAAAACATTTGTTATTGGGGTTTCGTTGCTAACATTTTTCTGTTAGCGGGAGCCTGAAATTTAAAAAGGATTTGTTGGGATTAGTTAATCACTTCGTTTCTGGTTATCGTTGGTTGATGTCCTCAAAACTTGGATTTTGTTTAAATTAAAGTTTCACACTATTTCTGGATGTCTGTTGGAGTGTTGGTTTTGTCTGCCTCAACCTTTGTGTGACGAGTTTCTACTCTCAAAACGTCTGAAATGTTTTCTTTGGTATAAAGTTGTTGCTCTTTCCGTTGCTTTTCTTGTTTCTTATTTGTACCCCTTAATAATATAACATGTCGTTGGATAAAAAGATCTTTTCCTTGTTGCAACCCGCGATACTCGAAGTATCCGTAGTTTCTACTGCGCTGTTTAAATCAATGGTTTCTCTGGTGTATGGGAGTTGGATTTGGCGGAGCTACGTGTAATCAAAATAAACAGAACCAATACAGTTAAATGTGAAGATGTAGAAGAATATTGTGACTTGTGAATTTGGTGTGAAAAATGCTTTAATATCACAAGTTAGGACGTGAATTTGGAAAATTACCACTGCTTAAATCCCGCATCACCCCATTCGTCAACAGCCAATACATACGAGAGGTGGATGATTTTACCGATTCCAAAAACTAGTTATGATTACGCTAGACCCACACCTACAACATATAGCCCAAGCCCACTCCAAGTCCAGATTTTCCAATTTTTGGATTTTCGTCCCACCTTTTTAGCCCTTTTTCAAGTGAAGACTGAAGACTCTCGTCTCCTTCGTTTCTCTTGAATTTCACCGGCATGCTTTTTCTCTCCTTGCTTTCTCCCTTCCACCGTCTTTTTTCGTCTCCTTAAGGTCTTTCTTCAAGCTTTTCTTTTTTTTTTTTCTTAAAAAAATCCAAATTATAATCGCATCAATTTTGGGGGAATACAAATGAAATGGGTTTAGCGATTTCTCTCTCTTACATCATTTTCCTTAATCTTTAGCATATAACTGAGGTTGAATTATTTGGAAAGTTGGCATTCATGATTTTTTTATTTTTCCGTGGCCATTTTATGTTGGTAGCTCGATTTCCTATTTTTCCCCTTTTTTTTTTTGTTATTTTCTGTGTTTTTGGTATGTAAAATTGAAAAAAAATGTTGATTCAATATGTTAAGGTTGTTAGTTTGTCGAATTGTGATTATGAATTTCACTTTGTTTCTTATTACACGCATTAATATTTATATGCTAAAGGCATTTTGTCCTTCCTGCTTTAGTTAAATTGACCTGCTGCGATCTGATATGCAAAGTTGGCTGCAATTAATAAAAATTATCATGCCCTCATCTGCTTTGAGGAGATCCATATCGACTTTGCCTCACCTCTGCCAGAGAATCAAGCAAACAGGTGAGCTTTTCAGCTGAGTAATCCATTCTTGTGTGTTGAATTGGCATTTTGCTGTTTGCTTTGATAGGTATGAAGTTAGATGGTTTTATACAATGAAATGGGTGAAATAAATTTCTCCAATCAAGTAAATTTGTTAATTGCTTTTGTGTGGTTTAACTTTGTAGAGAATGAGATAGCGCAAATGTTCAAGTTGCCTAGTCCAGAGAATGAAGTGCGAGACTTGGGTTTTAGCAGGAAGGTACCGAGGAAGAATCCGTCTGTACGGACATTGGATGAGAGGTTTATAAGAATTTTGAAGATATTCAAGTGGGGGCCTGATGCAGAGAAGGCATTGGAAGTGCTAAAGATGAAGGTGGACAAACGGTTGGTTCGTGAGGTTTTGACGATAGATGTAGAGATCAATGTTAAAATCCAGTTCTTCAAGTGGGCAGGGAAAAGAAGAAACTTTGATCATGACTCTACCACCTACATGACTTTAATTCACTGTTTGGATGAAGCAGGACTTGTTGGCGAAATGTGGAAGACTATCCAAGAAATGGTTCGGAGTACGTGTGTTATTGGTCCAGCTGAATTGTCTGAAATTGTGAGAATATTGGGAAAGGCTAAGATGGTGAATAAGGCTCTCTCCATCTTTTATCAGATTAAAAGTCGCAAGTGCAAGCCAACAGCAAGCACTTACAACACCATAATCTTGATGCTGATGCAAGAAGGGCACCATGAAAGAGTTCATGAGCTCTATAATGAGATGTGTAATGAGGGTGACTGTTTACCTGACACTGTGACATACAGTGCACTTATATCCACTTATGGTAAGTTGGGTCGTCATGATTCTGCCATTAGGTTGTTTGAGGAGATGAAGGAGAATGGGTTGCAGCCTACATCAAAGATTTATACAACCTTAATCGAAATCTATTTTAAGTTAGGTATGACGGGGAAAGCTTTAGGTCTAGTCCAGGAGATGAAAGGAAAGGGCTGTAGCCCAACTGTGTTTACTTACACCGAGTTGATAAAGGGTCTTGGGAAAGCTGGGAGGGTAGAAGATGCCCATGGAATATTCATGGATATGTTAAGAGAAGGTAGTAAGCCTGATGTTGTGCTTATTAACAATATGATTAACATTTTGGGCAAAGTGGGTCGATTGGAAGATGCTCTTAAGCTTTTCAATGAAATGAAGTCTTGGCAATGTGTACCAAATGTTGTAACATATAACACTATAATTAAAGCTTTAGTTGACTCCAAAGCCCCAATTTCTGAGGCATCTTTGTGGTTTGAGAAGATGAAGGCAGATGGTATTGTTCCCAGCTCATTTACTTATTCAATTCTTATTGATGGCTTCTGCAAGACAAACAGAGTTGAGAAAGCTTTGTTACTCCTGGAAGAGATGGATGAAAAGGGTTTTCCTCCTTGTCCGGCTGCATATTGTAGCCTGATCAACAGTCTTGGAAAGACAAAAAGATATGAAGCCGCAAGTGAGTTATTTCAGGAATTGAAAGAGAATTGTGGACGTTCAAGTGCTAGGGTATATGCTGTGATGATAAAACTTTTTGGAAAGAGCGGCCATCTGAGTAAGGCTGTAGATCTATTCAATGAGATGAAGAAATTGGGATGCAATCCTGATGTCTATACTTACAATGCACTCATGTCAGGGATGGTAAGGGCAGGCATGATAGATGAAGCTCATTCCTTACTGAGAACCATGGAAGAAAATGGTTGCGCTCCGGACTTGAATTCTCATAATATCATTCTAAATGGATTAGCTAGGACAGGTGGCCCATATCGGGCAATGGAGATGCTTACAAAGATGAAGAATTCAAAGATTAAAGCTGATGCAGTATCTTACAATACTGTTCTTGGCTGTCTCAGCCGAGCTGGTAGTTTTGAAGAGGCTGCAAAGTTAATGAAAGAGATGAAAGCAAGAGGTTTTGAATATGATCTCATCACTTACTCATCAATACTTGAGGCTGTTGGGAAGATTGATGAAGATCGAAACCCTACTGCTTTATGATGGTTTCTTGATCTTTAGGTATGATAAAGACGTCTTTCATGTTTCTCTCTAACCTTTTTTCAACTATTTTTTTATTGTCACTAACATAGCTTAAACTGTTCATTGGACTTTTTTGAAGAAATGCTAAATTATAGGATTTTATCTGAAGCCTTGGTGCATAATGTTTTTATTACCCATATTTTATGGACTGCTTATCTGGTGCAGACAATCAATTTGCTGTTAACTGGGCTTATCATGACAGTGACTAACATATTTGAAGATGATTCCACCCTTGGGTAGCTGCTATAGCTGGATCATTTTCTTCTAAACTAACTCGATTAACTATACAATTGTCAAGCTGCAATTATGGGAATTTGCTAGAGTTCTACTAGGCAATGTCACTAGATCCGACAGGGGGTTAAGTAGGGATGTAGAATCATTAATCCATAAAGATAATCAAATCAATTGGGCAAACTTTTCAAACTGTAACTTTAATTCTCAAATCAAGGAAAACATTTGAGTCTGTAACACTTTCGCCAAAATATCTCAAATGTCCATCATCACAAGCTAACCATTTAGTCTGACATTTGCATTTAATGGCTGGTCTAAGAACAGATTATTCACTGAAGATATGCCTGACGAGGATTGACTTTTCCAGACTGAAGGAAATGAATGACACTGTTTCACTTTTATGGGTTCCTCAAGATCAACTACTTGACAGTGACACTTTGCCATCCCCTTGGTAACATGCGCTAACTGTTGACACCAGTCATCCATTTGTTACCGACAAAAGTTCATGTACTGGCTGTGGCCAAGTTTTAGTGTGGTAATTCTTATGGGAAACTTTTTGGAGCCTTTTTCTTTTGTTTTCCTGTGTGGCTTTTATATTTTCTTCTGTTTTTTTTAAAGGTTGAGGTCCCAAGAAAGTGAGGAAAACAAACATCCAGTAGCAGAGTTACCTTCAGATATGCAATAAGCGGTGGAGTTTGAAATGGCTTTGCAAAAGAAGGCTATGGAAGAAACTAAAGATTGGAAAAATGCTGTCGGCTAATTTGCGGAAACACCAACTATTACTTTTATCTATTATATTCTTTAAACTAATTATTGCTTCAAGCCTCCAGCTAAGTGACAAATGTTATGTTTTTTTTTTAGTGCTCCAGGCAAGGAGTTTACTGCTAAGCTTCTAGAAGTTGAAAATTAGCCCTTCAAAGAAGGGGAGGTTGAAAGAAAGGTGCGTGTGTCGCAAAGCTTGATGAGCCTGAGAGGGTAGCTCTTGTTCTTCTGAATGATCTGTCATTCCTTTTTGAGACAAAACTGTTTTGACTATAGAAACATATTTACATGTGTTAAAAAGCTATGCACTAGACAAATGATAAAACTTTAAAAATAGGAGTAAAGAAGATCAAAGGAGAAATTTAGAAATTATTTGGTGCTGCACATTGTCATTTAGCAATTAATTAGAGAAAATTGAGGAGTCCGAGCATGCATATTTTGTTTGATTATTTCTTTATATTCTAAACTGAGTGGATCTATGAATTTTGAGGACACCAACTCTTACTATTCTCTTCCTTTATGCTATTTGATGTGTCATAACGTTCCAATTCTTGAATCTTGCACGTTTAATCAGTTTTGTGGGATATGAATTCGGTGAAGTCTGCTTGATACAATTGCTATCACTGGCTTTGCAACTACAACGCCATGAACATAATGATGATACAAGTAAAGGCTAGGTAAGTAAGGGTTGTTATCAACTAATTGTATTAAAAATTTATAAACTTTGTTTGTTGGCAAATCCGGATGCTTTTTGAAGTAAGTTTTTCAGCAATACGGTCCATTTACTCAAATTTTTGTCAAAAAAAAAAAAATTACTTTAGGTAAACGACCTTGAAGCAGATGGGATGAATAGTGACTAAAGCTGGCAGCCTGTAACAGCCGGTTCCTAATATATAGAGAGAGTAAAGAGAGAGAATAATGGTTTGTTGGATTTTATAGAAAGTGTGCAAAAGTATGGTAATAATTCTGGGACAGAGCTACCCTCAGACCTGATTTTCACTTTCTTATGGTGGTTAAAAGTGATATTCTTTGAGGTTATGAGTAGGCTCATTGAAGTGAATTATATTCTTTAAGTACTGGAGAAAAAGGAAATACCGACGTGTATATTAGTGGGATAGAAGTTAGTTTAACAATAATAAATATTATTTTAATAACAATTTATAATTTATGCACTTGTTCAAGAACATGTTGAGGCTTAAGACAATAGGCAGCTTCATTTGTGCAAGTAATTTTTGTTGTTTATAGGGTCCACTTGGGAGCCAGATTAAAGGGCGAGATTGACTTTTTCTTCATAGTACCGTTACCCTTTGAAAAAGTTATTTACTTTTCTTACAACTTGTATTTACAAAGTTCCATTTCCCTTTTTTTAACCTTTCTACCGTGTTCTTGATATTTTCTTTCAGCAATTGTTGAGAGGTGAACTATGACATTAAAGCAGTACTAGTGATAATGAGAGTAATGATCTCTAAATTCAGTAAAATTTTCTACTTCACTGATACAACATGTCTAGCGTTATTATTGTTGCTTACAATGTCAATTGGCAAAAACAACATTTAGCAGTCAAAATGTAATCAACCAAATGGCTTTTGCATGCATTACCCACGGGCATTCCCTTCATCATCATTCACCCTGCTGTATTTTTGCAATATCAGCCTGCCCTCTCTCCATGATCTGCCTCTTCTGCATTTCCAACTCCCTTTGAAAATCCATTCTCATCTTCTATAATTCCAATATCTGCTGCCTTTAACCATTCTCAATCTTTTCATATATATATATATATATATATATATATATATTACTAAATTTCTGAATAGAATCTGCGAGCAATCTGAATGAAGAACCCTCATTACATTGCCTCCTCAATTTTCTCTTTTTTGGTGGCAGTCCATCTGAGACATCCTCAGATTCTGAATTTGCTGGACTGCCCTTCATTTCATCCAAACCGTTTGCATGGTTCAAATAAACATGCCCACCTGAGTCCAAACCACAGGAAAGCCCACCCTGCCGTGGAGTTGACATTAACATGTCCATCTTCTTGAAAAAAACCCATTTGCTGGTGGTACCAGCAGTCTCTGCCACCATAGCCTTCTACTCCTTGTATTTCTTCTTCAACGTATCCAATTGATTACGACACTGGGTGTCACTCCTTTCCATCTTTGAAACCTCTGAAACCTTCTCTGCTACTTCTTGCCATTCCTCAAACTGAAGACTTCCTCCCACATTGCAAAAAATTGTCACCCGAGGCATCTAGCAAAACAAATCTCTCAGTCCAAACTGTAAGAGAATTCCTCCCACCATACGAAGGCTTTGGCACTGATGGAGTTGCCTGCTGCTGGTACACAAGGAGCAAATTCATAACTTGACATCAAACTCTTCAATTTCCTCTTTTTGGGTGCCTATCCAAGTCAATCATCATTTTTTTCGATTATAACCTTTCTGCTCATCACCACCTTCATTGTAATCATCTTCATCATCGTCCAACTCTTCATCGCCATCACCATCGTCATCCATACCTTTTCCTACATACCGAACACCATTTTTTTGGTTATGATTTTCCTCTTCGTCTCCCACTCCTCATCTTCATCATCATCAACACATTGATTCCCAATCGGTCTAGAATATCGAACATTTCTAGCAGGAAGCTTTTGGCGATTCAAAGAACTTGAAGGACATCTAGCATCATCCTCAATGACATCCATTAAAACCAAAAACTCAGTTCAACAACTATAAAATCACCCAAAAGTATCCCTAAAAATCCAAGCCTATCTAAAAACAGAATTTCAAATTACAAAATACAAAAAGATGGTAGCTTCAATCCCCAATTTGCTCTTCCCTATCCAATCAAACTTACACAATATAACAATCATTATTCTTTTTCCGAAAACAATCCCAATAACTCCCATAAATACTCCACCATTATCAACAAATATCAAAAAGTCCTTTAGTCAGCAAAAAATATCACATAATGCTTTAATTTTCTTTTCTTCTTCGTTGATAATATGCAATTTTTTATCAGTTAATTATTATAAGATTGCAATAATTGGGTTAAATTATTACCAAAATCTATTAGTTTATTAAGTGGCAAAGACATTTCATGAGCAAAAACCTAATTATCATGGAATAGAAAAAAAAACAACAACAACAACAAAACCCATGGAAACTTACAAGAAAAGTGCTCAAAATTCTCAAATTTCTCTTCAACATCAAGCACCTAATTGAAGCTATAAGAAGCCTCTAACTCCAAAATTTAAGGAAAATTCCTTTTTGTTTGTTTAGAAGAAAATTAAACAGGGGAAGGGATGTGATTGTGGAGAGGGTAAAAACTTGGAAGAATAAATTTGGGGGATAAAAAGACGATTGCTGCTATTGTACGCTGCGTAATATTATTGCACAGAAGGTCTTGATATTTAGGAGCCCATTGGGTCAAGTGATTGTTAAATGGGCCTTTATGGTTATGTGGGCTTGGGGTTGATTATGATATTTATTTATTTTGTCAAGTGAATCGATGTAATAAATTCAATAAAATTTCAAGTTGGAATAATTTATAAAAAAAAAAAAAAAAGATTGAGAAAGGAATAATTATTATGTAAAAAATGGATTTATATGCACTCTCCATTAAATTGAACATATCAATTAATTAAATAATTTTATTATTTATAATTACTTGAATATGTTACATACATTTAAATTTATTTGTAATTTTTTAATTTAGCATCGATTAAATCTGTTTAGGGGTCCAATTGCCAGATATAATTGTGGGTTGATCTAATTCGAACTGTATCTAAAATATTAATTTATTAAAAATTAATATCATAAATAATTTTTAAATTATAATAAAATATTTAATATAATATTTTTAATTTAAAAAATTCTAACGTCATGCTGATTATAAAAAATTATTTTTTTCCCGTTGAAAGAAAACAAAATGTCCCTCTTTTCGGTTAAAAATAGTATTTTAATAATAGTAAATAAAAGAAAAGAAAAGTTAAGAAAATAGTATACCTAGTACTAAAAATGGGAAGACCAATGATGCAAATCCGCGTGTCCCGATGTGCTTACGTTCTCGTGCGCCACAAACAAACAAAAGACTTCTGGCACTTCAATACATGCACAACACGTGTAGTACACCTCACAACCAAGAGCAAGTTAACTAAGTCATTTATGAACCGTTAGATCATTTGACATGGCTCAGTGAATCTTAATTTTTCAGCCGTTGGATTGCACGAGGTTTGCACGGCGGAAGTGAACACGTGTGGAGCGCTTTGTATGTCTTTTATTATTATTTATTGTAATTAATTATTTTTGTGAAATATATTTTATTTTCCTTTTTTTTAAAGAAAAGGCTGAGTCAAGCTAAACGACAAAGGAAGATAAATAGGGCTGTGTGCGAGGAATCATTACTCGGGTCGAGCTCTTTTCAAGTGGGGTCCACTTTTTTTCAACCTACTAAATCATAGAGTTCGATGGCCAGATTTGACGCCCTCTAAATTATTGTTTCGGTCCCACCAGAAATGATGTGGCAAGGCAAATTTACTACTTTACCCCACTTGCTCACAAAGAAAAAGCTTTACATTTAAAAAGAACTTCTTTTAATCAATATTCATTAAAAAAAAATAAAAAAGTCAAAAAAAATACTAAAAAAAATACATTTTTTAAAATATTCAAAATTTTGATTAAATTCGAAAAAAATGTGAGAATGTCCTTAATTATATTATAAAAAATTTTAATTTTCGTTGATAATCTCAAATGTATGATTTCATCGTTTTACTATAAAAAGTATATTTTTATTTTTTAAAAACAATAATTCAACTACACACAAAAATAAGATGTATTAAAATTACACTTATTTATGAAAAATATTTATTATATATGATTAAATACTTAAATTGTTACCCGAATTAAAATTTTTAAACATAATAGTAATATAACTTTTTTTTAGGAAACAAATATAACTCATTTAACAATGGATGTAGTAGAAAATTGCTTCAAGAGCTATATGATTTGTTTTAATTTTATATAATATCAGTGTTTTTTTAATTTTATATTTTACATTTTATATTTTTTAATATTAAATAAGACATCAAATTTAAGTAGCTTAAAAAAGTTAGCATTTATTTATGTAGTAATACAAATTTTTAATTAATAATAGAGCCAATTTTAATTCACCTCAAAAAGGGCAGTTTGGCCATAAAAAATATAAGGCCACGTCAATACTTTATTTTATTTTTTATCCAAATAGAATTAAAAAGAGATTTGAATTTTAAATTTTCACACTCTTAAGCTTAAGTAAATTAAGAATTAAAAAAAAAAAACTCCTAACCTTTATTGGTTATTTTAAGATATATTTATAAAAAATCTCAAAAAAGAAAAACTGATAATTAAATCCCAAAAATAAAAAGAAGAGAAATGAAAATAAAAAATTGATGATCAAGGAGGAAGCAAAAACGTGGGACAAATCAAGTGGACAAGAATTGCGGTCTGCAGCAAGTGTGACAACGTCACACAAAAGAAACTCTGTTTCTTTTTGTCTTCAACTCCAAAACCACGAATATGCACTGTTTTCTACAAACAACATTATACCGTCTAAAATACGTATTTCTTTCTTAATCACGAGAGAGAGAGAGAGAGAGAGAGAGAGAGAAGAAGTGAGGAGTATATCAGAAGCCTCAGTGGCTTACTGTTTCTCTGATTTTGATGCATTGCAGAAGAAGCAAAAATATTTAAATAAAAAATCAAACCCAAAAAATGGCAGAAAATAAAAATTATATGCAGAGATAGAGGAGTGAGTTTATTATGTTTTTGCTAAGCCAAAGTAGTGTTTCTATCTCTTCTGCATTTTGGGTTTTTCTTTTTTTCTCTCACACCTTTCAAGTTTTAACAGAAGAAAACCAGGTGGGTCTTTTTTTTTTTTTTGCCATTTTTGTAATTGTTTTAGCTCTTTTATTTTTATTTTTGATCAATCTACAGTTTTTAGTGTCTGGGATGTCAAAAAATTTGGACCTTTTTTTGAAACCAGTTTGGATTTTTTTTTCTTTAATGTTTGAAGTTTGACTTTTAATGTTGTCCTTGTTTGTTTTGATGCATGCAAGGGTCTTTTTTTTTTTTGTTTAATATTGATGCTTAACCATTATTTTGAGTACCTTTTTGATGCATTTGAAGTAAATTTCGCATCTTGTTTTGATCAGGCTTTTGTTTCTTCTTCATCTTCGTTAGTTTTTTTTATTATTATTGTATGTTTTTTCTTTGTGATGTTCTCACTTCTCTATTTGAAAGTCCCTCAAATGTTTCTGCTTTTTAGGAATCTTTGAGATTTTTTATTAATGATAATCTGGGGTTTGGTCGATATTGATCATCAAATCTATGCTTGCTCTATTACTACTTGCTTCTTGTTAGAGCTGCCTTTGTACCAAAAAAATTTTTTGATTTATGATCGGCCTTTTTTTTTCTTTTTTTTTTTTTGCCTTTTATGTTTATATAGTTCATTATTGCACATAAGCTATTTAAATGGTTCGTCCCTTGTTGTTGATTTTGATATACCTTATCATCTTAAATGCAGATCAGGGAAAATTTGTTTCCTTCCTTAGTTTCTTTATCTATGCTCAAAAATGGATTTTGATGAGGAGTTTTTTAGAGTTCTATTGAGATTTTCAATTTTTTTTTTTATTTTCATCTTGCATTGTTGATATGATTCAATGATCTTGTAGATTTGCATTTTTTACTAAAGGATTCAGCCAAACTTTTGTATTTTTAAATGAAATTGTATGGTAGCATCCCTATTATTGCATCCTAGCTTCCAAAATGCTCGTTCTTTTGGGGCTTTTTTTTTTTTTTTGGTGCTTGAATATGATATGATTTTCTGGGCATTTATTTTTCTTTATCCTTTATCTGGATATAACTGTATTCCACTTGTATCATGGTTGAATATTGTCATTTGGGATAGCTCAATCAATTTTCTTTATTTTTCCGTTAAGTATTGCCATACATGGTTCTCGCGTCTTTATGGCTTGGGTCATTGTATTTGTTGGTTTTGGTATCAATCATATTTGTTTTGTATTGATGAATTCTTGATTCTAATGCAGTAAGTACATTGCTGGTTTTCTTGCTAGAAGAGTGAGGTTTATAGATAATGCAGTGTAAGGAAACATACTTCATAGGCAAGTTCAATGGATGGTAATCTGATGGCTGATCCTGATTCAGAGTTCTGCTTCCAGTCTGATACAGTGGGTTTAAGGCATATCAGCAGCTCACTTTTCAGTATTCCTGGTTTCCTTGTTGGATTTAGCACTAAGGGATCTTCGGATTCTGATTCGGTACGGAGCCCTACATCTCCTCTTGATTTGAGAGTTTTTGCAAATTTTAGCAACCCATTTAGTGTTAGATCTCCTAGATCATCACCCCAAAGTGTTTATCCAAAGAAGTGGGATTGCAGTAAGATAGGGTTGGGCATTGTGAATTTGCTTGCTGATGAAATTAAGCCAGATGGTGAAGACCTTGATTCTCCAAAGAGAAAGAATATTATATTTGGACCACAGGTGAAGGCTAAATTTCCTAATTCCTCAAGGTATTCCCATGAATTCATCAGTAATTCTATGAAATCCAATTCTTTGCCTAGGAATTATATAATTTCACAACTTTTCCAAGCCAGAAAATCCAATATGAAGTCAGGGGATTCTAGTCTTGTCTTTGGAAATGAGGAACTGCCATTAGAACCCAAACCAGATTCCGGGCTTTCCCCCTCTTTCATTGCCTCTACCCAAAACTCCAATATGAGTTCCAGAAGTTTTTGTTCAGAGAGTGGAACCATCAGCATTAATAGTTCACCTCTGCCAATTGGCAAAGCTTCGCAAGTAGATAATTATTTGGTAAGTAAACCAAGTTCACTTCCTATACCCCTTGCCCATAGCATGGGATCTCTCTCCACACGCGAGATAGAGCTTTCTGAGGATTATACTTGTGTAATTTCTCATGGTCCAAAACCCAAAAAAACTCACATTTTTTGTGACTGTATTTTGGAATGTCACAACAATGGGTTGACCAATTTTGACAAAAAGGCAGAACCAGGAACCAAAGTGCCTCAACTGGATAAAAGCACAGAGACTTCAGCACCTTACCCCTCTGATGAGTTTTTGAGCTTCTGTTACTCTTGCAAGAAAAAAATAGAGAAGGATGAAGACATCTACATGTACAGGTTTATACAGTTCACATCCCCTTGCGACTTTTACTTCAGTTGCATCTGTTTGTAATGACTGAGGCTGTTTTTTCTTCTGATTCTTGCAGAGGTGAAAAGGCATTTTGCAGTTTTGATTGCCGCTCTGAGGAGATTTTTGCAGAGGAGGAAATGGAGAAAACCTGTAATAATTCCTCCAATGGTTCTCCTGAGCATTGCGATGATGAAGATCTCTTCCTTATTGGTATGCCCGTTAACATATAATGGGCTATAACCATGATTCCTTTTTGCAGGCTTCCATGCCAAGACTGATAAAATTGCTGCAAAATTTAATACATGGATCATCTTTTCATAAAGAGCTGTTTATGTGAATCTGTTTGCAGCCGTGGATGATCGCAGCATAAATCCCGAGTCATGGATGGCACAGCATAGAGTTTGATTTATAGTCCGGGGAATGGATATAGCATAAAGACTGTTGCATTATAATTTTGATTAGATGAGTTAGTAGTGGCCAGAAGCCCCATCTCATCAGTTTTCTTCTGTGTCTTTTGTTATTGCTGCTCGTGTGTGAGCCTGTTGTAGAAGCCTCTTGAACTTGAAGAACTCATTGTTGAATCTTGAATGTATGCGACATTTACTCCGTTCTATGCATTCTCTTTCAGATGATTCTTTTTAGTCTGCAGCTGTCTTTCATGTTCTTTGGCAATATATGACAACAAAATGGAGATTAATCTTATTTGTCTGCCATAATTTATAGTTTATGAATGTCAATGGGGCTAATGCCTAAGAACATTGTCAGACTGAAATGTTTCTCATTGCGACAACTAATAATGTGTGTATCAATGCTCAGCATCAGCTTTGCTTTTTGTCCATTCTGCTGTATGAAAGATACACTGACCTCTTCCGTTCATCTTTCTTGAAGTTTAGTGTTGAAAAATCTGCATAGAAATTGATTTTTCCCAGTGACTTACATAGAGAAACAAAGGATTTTGGTATTAACCAAAATCAAGTTTTTATATTTTCAAAAAGGGAATTCAAATTTTACTTTTTTTATTTATACAAAATAGATGAAGAAGGAAGAGATTCCCAGAGATCAAATTTAAAACCAAAACTTTACATGATTTAATACCATGAAAGTTAATAATTGTTTAGGAAGCACCCACTTGATAATCAACCATCCTTTTCAAAATTAAAAAAAAAAAAAAAAAAAGAAGCAGTGGGCTAATGAGCTCATATTTGTTATTGAAGCTTTGCACATCCCCCCACTCATTAATTTTTGCTGCCAGTGTGGGCTGATAGATAGACCAACAAGCAAATGTGGGTTCATTTCAATCTATTCATTATTGATAAAAATAAAGTATGTCTAGATAAATGTGGATGAAAAGGATATGATTTATAGAGACCTTGCACTAAAAAAAAAGTACTCCAATTTAAAATTTTCAAAAGATTTAGTAAACGAATTTAGACATTTCTCTATATCTACTCTTTCTTTTTTTGGAAGATTATGACAAAGATTTGCTACACTTTAAAGTTTTATTTTTAAAATGTATCCTAAGTTTTTGCTACTTAGTCGAGATTTCAATAATTAAATTTTAATTATTAATTAATTATTTTTTGAATCAATCGATATATCATTGAAATTTATATTTAAATATTACGGATTTAAACAAATTTAAGTGTATTATATTTTTTTATCAAGTAAATAGTTTAAAAATTAAAAATTTATTCTTTTTATATTAAAAATTATCTAAAATTAAACTTGAACTACTAAAATTAATTAAGAGTCCTAAAACGTAATTTTGGTTTGTGGAGCTGACCGGTGATTTTTGGTTGAAATTAGTACCCGGAAAATTATGAAAAGGAAGCTAGGAGGATGGTATTTTACAGCAGAAAAGTTGAGTGACGTGGCAACCTAGGCTACGTAGGCTGAGGATAAAAATTTCACTTTTCTTACTTGGCAATTTTGTATTGGTGAGATTGCCATTCGGTATAAAAGATAAAATGGACCCTTTTGTAATTGGACCTATATCTTTGTTGGAATTACCCATTTGCCCCTTAAGAATATATATATTCCAATAAATATAATGCGTTTTTAACTTTTTTTTTATTTTTTTTATTTTTTTGTTTCACTAATATTGGATTATGCAATGAAAATAATTTTTTCACATAAAATTTATTATATTTTTATTAAGACTCAAACTCGAGATGTTCAAATAAAGTTAAGCATTAATAGTTTGGTATTTTACTAAATATAATAAAGCACTTAAATATATATTTGAAAATGACTATATTTTTTTAAACAGTAAAAGTATGTACTTAACTGATTTAAAAATCAATAGTTGTTTAATATATTTTTTTAAAAATTATTTGATACATTTTTGGTTTAATTTTTTTAATTTCATAAATAAAATTAAAAAATTGATACATATATCATTTTTAATTAATTTTTCTAGTTTTTAATTTAGTTTAAAAGATATGTATTTTTATTTTAATCTCACTTGTAAAATGTAAAAACTTAATATGTATTTAATAAATTTTTTAAATCAAAAAATAGATTCAATAAGTTTTTTTTTAATATTTAGCAAATCTAATTATAATTTTTTAATCATTTAATGTGATTTTTAGTTAATGTTTTTATTTTTAAGTTAATTAATTAAAGAGATGTTGATTATATCATCTAGTTGAATAACTAGTAATGTAGCCATGTCAGTTTAATTCTTAATGTATTATCTTTAATTCTCACACGTACTTATGACTTTCCTATTTCTTTTTAATTAAAAAAAATAAAAACTATATTTTCATTACCGAGAAGGGGAATTCCGTCTTTCCGCAAGTTTCCACCGTCCAAGACAATTTAAAACCAGAAAGACTGAGCAAAGGATCTAACTTTCTTTTCGTTCTTAGTGCGCTTAATCTCTGAATCAAGAAAAATCAAATAAAAAAAAAAAAGAAAAAGGAAAAGAAAGTAGAAATGGGTTTCTTGTTAGGGTGCTCTTGCTATTTGCAAGCTCCCTTACCCAACTCTCAGGTACTGTTTTCTTCTTCTCAATCCGTTTTCTTTAACATCAGAAATGCAGAAACCAAGAGAAGAAGGATAAGCATCAGGCCTCCAATGGCTGCTCTGACCCATGAAGACCCAAACGACGACGTTTCCAGCAAGAGGAGGGCGGTTCTTCTTGTGGGTATTTCCATTCTTCCTTTCTTGCAACTCAGAGCCAAAGCTCTTGAAGGCTCCTCCTTAAGTAAGTCCCTTTTTTTAATTTTCTTTTTTCATTCTTTGTTTCAACGTTTCATCTTTTTAATCAAAGTATTGGATTTGCTACTAATTTTGTCTTAGAAGTATATATATATATATATATATATTTATATATATATAAATATAATTGATACAATTTACTAATCAAATTTGTCTTTTCCTATGCTGTCCATAACCTTATATAACAAAAGCAACCTTTTTTTTTTATATGGTTTTTCACTTGGTATACATGTCAGATTATCAATGTTAGTTGCCTGATTATCAACCTTAAAGTCATTTCTTCTACTTGCATCTTGTCAACAGCTATTGGATGCATTGAGATTTGAGAGTATGGACATTTAATTTTTTGCTCAAAGGAGTGGTGTTCTTTTATAATTTATGTACTAATATTCCTTTTGGAACTTTTTTCATAAACAAGATTGTCTTCTTAAAGAAATTGTAATAACTAATAAGATTTTGCCGATGGCTGTTGTGTACTTTTAACATGAGGTTCAAACGTGGCAGTTAACTGGCCTGATGGCAATGAAGCCGCTTAACTTTATCATCATACTCTAAATTGGTTTTATCTCACCATTGGACTTCTGTTAGTTAAACAATTATTCTAATTGCTAATGGAAGCGTTGGAATTGCCTTTAGAACCAATGTATGGGACATAGTTTAGCTGTGTGGCTTAATATGATTTAGACACTTGACATCTGATGTTGTGGCATCATTGAGAAAGATTTTTATAAAAATTAAACAACAAGAAGCTATCTTGATATATAAAATCAAGTTAACAAACTTTGCTTTCTTCTCTCTCTCTCTCTCTCTCTCTATACCCTTTGGCTACAGCACTTTTTCTGTTGGTCATGCTCTCTTGTGTTGTGACGACATTATTCTTCTCTCTCCCTGTCTCTCTTCTCTAGGTAGTTTTTTTTTTTTTTTTTGTTAACATTGTAATGCTGTTTGGTATTTTTTAAATTTATATAAATGGGTTCTGGGGGAAAAAGAACAAATACACTTGGTTGAGGTACTTTGGTTTTGGTAATCTATACTTGGTAAGCCTCCTTAAGGTTCCAAGTATAGAGGTGATGCTTGTGCTAGATGTGCGTACCACTTTTACTGATTTCATGGAGGGTTAGATATATCAATCTTCCATGACAAGAGAGAGATTGCTAAGGCTTGTGAAATTGCAGGGAGAGAGAGGCAGAGAAAGAGTAAAAGTAGAGAAGAAGAAGGAACAAGAGAGCTGCCAATGGCAGTTGCTAGCGATAAAGCACTGGCACTAATTACCTTTATTTTGATTTCTTTCCTTTTTGCACTTTTAATGTTAAAATTTCTGTTTTAACTTTTATTACTATGATATAATTGAGTTAAATATTTAATTAGCCCCATCTCCTTCCATGAAAAAAAAGGAAACGTTCCTCCTAATGGTAATGGAACAACCCTTGTTAAGATTGTTTGGTTAGTAATAGATCAACAGTGCATTGAACCAAAGTAGTAAGAGATGGCCTGATCGAGAATTAAGTAAAATGCTTAGTGGTTTTAGTATTACTATAAAGTACCTGGCATGAATCAGGTATGAAGTCAAAGTTTCTGGACTAGTTGGCTCAAGGTCTAATCTCAAGTGAAGCATGTGTAACTATTGAAGTAAATGGCTAGAATTATCACTCTTCCACATCATATTCGAAACAAAATCACTCTTCCACATCATATTCAAAACAATTCCTTATGCTCATGCCTGTTCTTTTAAAGTAGATCTGCTTACTATTTTGTTTAAGTTTACATATATTTTATCTGTTACCAAGGTCCTGTCCCTGTTCTTTTTCTTAGGTCCTTTTTATAGGGTTGGTTTAATAATTGCTTATCCTTCTTCATTTTCTATTCTATTTATTCATCTTATTTCAGAAGAAAATGAGGTAAACAAACCAGAGGAAAACCAAATAGCAGAAATTGATCTAAACAAACCAGAAGAAAACCAAAAGACAGAGGTCTGAGTCTCTTACTTTAAGATCCCATCCAGTCTATTTGCTTTCATTATGTTTACTTCTTGATTTTGTGACTAAGTTTCAAAAATTCTTAATGGGTAGCTTGCATGGACAGGAAGCACAGGGAGATTCACCATCTAATCCCTTTCTATCCCTCTTGAATGGTCTTGGAGTATTTGGTGCTGGTGTGCTTGGTGCGTTCTATGCTTTGGTTTGGAAGGAGAAGAAAGCAGCTGATGAAACCCTAGAATTAGTAAGTCATCACTTACCTTTAAAGTCAATTTTTGTTACACAAGGCTCATTGTTCATAAATGGCTTTGAGCATTCAGAAGATAAAGAAGTTATGGAAAGAATACAACTAAGAAAAAGTCAGTTCCCTCTTTTTGGATAATCAGATGCTTTTCAACAATATTATTATTTCTCCCACTCATCAAACCCCCTTCCCATGCTACTCCCCTACCTCCTATCAAGTAGTCTTTCTTTCCAAAATACAAAGGAAAAAACAAAAGAACAGAGATCAAAGAATGCTTTTGGTGTTTTCACCTTACCGTAATGTTTGCAGTTCTAAATTATTTTATTTGACTTTCATTACCAAATACCCTTTTTTGGACTAGTTTACAAATCTTGCTTTGATTGGAACATGTAGATAAAGATCAAATTGCAAGAAAAGGAAGCTGCAATTTTGTCATTGGAGAAAGACTTTGAATCAAAGCTGCTAAATGAACAGGAAGAACGAACCAAGCAACTCAAAGAGGCAAAGGGAGAACAGCTGTCTTTAATGGATCGACTAAATTCATCTAACAATACAATTACAGGCTTAGGACAGGAACTGAAAAATGAGAAGAGGTTAATTGAGAAGCTTAAAGTTCAAATAGACAGTCTTCAAAGAAACCTCTCAAAGGCTGGGGAAGAGAAAAGATCTCTTGAACAAGAACTGAAGGAAAAGCTTGATTCAGTTGATGTCCTGCAAGAAAAAATTAACTTGCTCAGTTCAGAACTTAATGATAAGGGAGGTAATATTCAAAAGCTCAGCTCTTCCCTTGTTCAAAAAGAATCAGAGTTCAAGAACTTGAACACTACCTACAAGCAAACCATGGAAGAACTTGGGAAAGCACATTCAGAGATTGAAGGATTGAAAGATGAATTACTAAGAAGTCAAAGTGAGCTTGAATCCAAAAATTCTGCAGTGGATGAATTAAATTCAAGGTTAAGCTCTTTAATGGTTGAAAGAGATAATTCTAAGCAGGAATTTGGTGCTCTTCAAGAGGATTACAATGATCTGAAACTGTCTTCTGTAAATAAGGCAGCGGCAGATATTAAGCTTTTGGGGGAAAGAGAAAAAGCAATTCAACTGCTGAAGGAAAAACTTGAGCTTGCTCTAAATGATGTAAGTGAAAATAAAGGAATTGTTGTTGATTTGAACAAGGAAAGGGAACACCTGAAGAGAGCACTGGAGGTGGAATTGCACAATGTAACGAAGCTGAAAGAAGAACTCCTACTTGCTGAGGAAACTCTTGCGAAGTCCAGAAGTGAGGCTTCTGATCTGTCCAAGCAACTAAATCACTCAAGAAATCATAGTAAAGAGCTTGAGTCTGAGGTTTCAAGGGTTAGGGCTGAGTTTGATGAAGCTAAATTAAGACTGCAGGGTAGTCTTGTTGAGGCAAAACAAAGTGGTGAAGTTCTAGCCGGTGAGCTCACAACTGCTAAGGAGCTTCTGAAGAAATCTAGGGAGGAGCTGCAGATTTTTTCTCATGACCTGACTTCTACGAAAGAAAATTGTGATAGCCTCCAGAGGGAATTGGTAGATGCCTATAAAAAGGCAGAAGCCACAGCCAATGATTTGAAAGAAGAGAAAAAGATTGTTTCTTCTTTACACAAAGAACTACAGGCTTTGGAGAAGCAGATTGCGATGGACAAGGAAGCTAGAAAATCACTTGAAACCGACTTGGAAGAGGCTACCAAGTCACTTGATGAGATGAATCGAAATATATTGAAACTTTCTGGAGATCTTGAAAGGGCTAATGCTACAATATCTAGTCTTGAGGATGAGAAAATGGTGCTCTATAAAACACTTACAGAGCACAAGAATGCATCCAAAAAAGCCCGAGAAAACATGGAAGATGCTCATAACCTTGTCATGGCACTTGGCAAGGAAAGGGAGAGTTTGGAAAAGCGAGCGAAGAAACTTGAGGAAGAATTGGCATCTGCTAAGGGTGAAATATTACGGTTGAGGAGTCAAATAAATTCATCCAAAGTTCCTGTAAATGATCAGCATCAACAGAAAGGTGAAACTGAAACTAATGTCAGTGTCAGCGCAAGGAAAACTAGCAGAAGGAGAAAAGGTAGCTCACGATGAGGCTGTGAGCCATCCCGAGTTCTAATACTCCTCCTAGATTTTTATTGTTGCTCTGACAATTTTTCGCAACACCATTGTATTGTTACCGTATAAATCTGACACCGAGGTATGCTGATTAAGGAATTTACTTCATACTGATGAAATACTAACGCAGTTTCTCTCTTTTTTTTTCAACAACAAAGAAAACATCAAGCTTTGCATGTTCATTGGGAATTAAGATTCATCTCTTGGGATGAAAATTGCTTAAGAGAACAATTAAACTGACAGTAGAAAACATAGCTTTTTTAGATCCTGAATCAATCTGAGCAAGGATATAGTTTCATCATATATATATATATATATATATATATACTCCCGTTGAGTAAGCCTTGTCAACTCTATAGCTGTCTGTCATTTTGAGGTCATTGAAAGGGCTGCTATCGATTGCTGGAAAATGGAAGTAATCCAAGAGTTGTCCTAGGTTTTTTTTTCCCGTAATTAGCCAGCTACTCAGACTAGTTTTTTCTGGAAGCATAAAACAATGTTAGAGGATAAAAAATTATAAGGTGGGTAGGCGAGAATTAATGAAGTTCAGTGATAGTAAATGGCATTTGATTGTTAGTTGTTCAATTAACGAGAAAGATTAATAAATTGTTCAACGTAAATAGTTAATGAAAACAAAATTAAAATGCTATCAAATTCGCATTTCGACCACAGTGGGAGTCGAACCCACGACCTTTTGATCCGAAGTCAAACGCGCTAATCCACTGCGCTATGCGGTCACATGACATTACGGTCGATAATTATAATAGTTGACTGAAACATATGAAAATGAATTGTTTAAATTTTTGTATAAATTATATATTAATATTTTCGAACTATTCAATTCGATTAAAAAAAATTCGAATTCAGTTTGATTGTTATTGAGTCGAGTTTAAGTAGTTTGATTTATCGATTAAATTGAATTCGAATATTTTTATATCCGATTTGAGTACATCGCGAGCCTATTCGAATTTTTATATTTAAATATATTTTTATTATTTTAATTAATAAAATATTTCGAATTCGAATTCAAACATAATAATCGAACTTTTATTGAGTATAGGAATCGAATTTATTTTTACATATAAATCGAGCTCGAAATTAAAAAATAAAATTCAATCGAATTCAAATCGAGTATCAAATTACGAATTATGAGTCAAATTCAAACTTTTCACTATATCAATTTAACTCGATTCGATTTGACTATTCCTAGTTATAACTTGAAAACGACATCCATGTCATTTTTGTAGTATTTTTTCTCTTTTTTTTTAAAGAAAACCTTCAATCCCTCTCCAAAAAGAAAGTTTTAGTTTTCAATCTTCACCTGTTTTGGCCTTTCTTTTCTTTTTTCTTTGGATCAAAATCTCAATTTCATTTAAGTTTGCTGGAATTGGGAATTCTTTCTTTCTTTTTTCTTTTTCTCTGATTCCCTCCAAAAAAGGGCCTTTCAGATTCGGGTTTGTTTCAGGACTACTGATTTACCAGATCCGAGTTCGCCAAGTCTCAACTTTAGGTACACTGAAAATTGAACCTCAAAGTCAATTTTAGCATTGAATTTTATTTCTTCAAAAACTGGGTTTTTCTTTAACTTCGAGAAACACCAGATTGGCAACCGATGGTTTTTGCTTTGATCTTTTTAATTTTATGAGAATTGGGTTTGAAAGAAAATTCTGCAAGGGAAGTAGATTTTCTTTTATGATCTGACGCTTGGATATAAGGAAATTCTTTTGGGGTTCTTTTTGCTGATCCGGGGGTATTTCAATTGTAGTCATGTTCTATGGTGTGGTGGTATGGGACCCTTGGCTTATTGTAGCCCAAATTGTTTGCCTTCAATGTTTATACTACCTTACACTTGGAGTCTTCTTGTCTTTTCTTGTCGGCACTCGTGTTTCTCGTATGAGCTTGGTCTATTTCTTTGACTTTGCTACTGTTACTACCTCTACCGTTACAGGCTGGTGTGTCATTGCTTCGTTTCTGCTCAGTTCTATAGCAGGGTGAGAATATAATTCCCATCTTGTTTTATAACTGTTCTTCATTTGTATGCCTATCTATCGATGTGTAAACGAACAAAATATAAACCTTGTTATGTTCATGATCTTCATTTTCTGTTCACTCTAAAATGTTATTCACCATTGTTTGTTAAGCATAATGAATGAAATAAACGAAAATAAACTGAGTCTATTCATGAATTGTTCGTGGAAAGTTTTGTACTTTTACAATGTAAACGCCGAACATGATTGAGTTTTGCTATGTTCATGGTCTATTTGCTTAATTAATTGGCCTTGAAATGGTGTTTGTATCCTTTGTTAAACTTAATAAACAAGTATAAATGAACACAAACCAAGCCTATTCATAAATTGTTCATCTAACATTTTGTTCTTTTATATCCCTACTTATCTGCATGAACTTTTGAATGCATCAATAGAAGAAATGGTTTGTTTCTATCAGCTGCTTTTAAGATGTATTAATTATTAGTTTTGCTTGAATGTGAATAATTGTTTTCATAAAAGCATGATAGCGTTAAAACTAGCTCTTATTTTGCTCAACTATGGCCTAATCTATTTATTAAAAATCAGTATGTTTCCTGCTGTTGCCTCACAAATCTTCCCTTTGCTGTGATACTCATACTTGTAGCAACTTTTAGTTATGATTAAACTACAAAAATCCCATTTTTCTTGTTTCATCCTTGATTATAAGCTGTAGGATTGGCTTGGATTAATGTATAGATTACATTGTACAGTTGTGACATTTGTCTGTATCATTTGTTCCATGATATGTATACTTTTTTGATACTAGAAAGAAAAAAGATTTAGAAAGCTTTGCACATGAATTTTGAAACTTAAGAAGATTGAATCTTGAACCTTTTTTAGGATATTAGTAGCTAAGCTTGAATGTTATTTACCGCCTGCCCACGTCATTGTACATGTTATTTTGCTGATTCCGTTGGTCTTCTGTATGAGGGAGGTTTATTTAGTTGTGAATTAATGGCCAGAACTAGATACCGTTTCTGTGAAGATATTACCTTGTTTTAACCTAGGTGGTATTTTATATGTTCATGTACATAAAAACTTGGAAGTAAAATGTACTAAGAATTTAAGAGATAATAATAATAATAATAAACTTACAGTGTGTTTGGATTGAGGGGAGAGGAAAGAAAGGAAAGTAAAGTAAAGGAAACAAAATCCCCCTTCCCTTGTTTGGATAACATTTAATTTAAAGAAAGGGAAAGAGGTGGAAACCAAATAACCTTTGATCTCCCTTGTAAACCCAATTTTTTAATACCCCAATTTGGAGGAAATGCTAGGGAAAGGAAAGTTGAATTTTTTTTTTTTATAAAAAGACTATTATGTCCATCTTTTTATTAATACTAAAACCCTAATAAAAAAAAACTTAAGCAGATCACAATCATCCTATAATTCTTTCAAAGCTAACTCTTTTTCCAAGTTTCATATATATCTTCCAATTAACATTTTTTTATAATTTTTTGGTGATTTGATTTTGATAAATGGTTGAATATAAATATATATATATATATATATTGGGTTTATGAGATGTTAGATTAGCTCAAAATTCATCAATGCATATTTTTAAAATATCTTCATGTTTCACTTGATTAAAAACCATTGATATAGCAACAATTGTGAAGCCAGACAAGATAGCAAACATATCATGGTCCAAGAATGTTCTAAAATCACAGGCAATGAAAGGTTATAATTGGAAAAAATTATTATAATGAATTATTTTGTTTCTTTTTCACTCTTTATCCAAACAATGGTTGTTAGAATTCCTTTCTTTTCTTTTCTTTTATTAATTTTAATTATCCAAACAAGGGTTACATGTATCCTTTCCTTTCCTTTAAAAAACTTTCTTTTCTTTTTCTTTCCTTTCCTTTCCTTTCCTTTATTAATATTTATCCAAACATAACGTTAGCTCTTTTTAACGTGCATTTTTGTTTTGTTTGGATCTACACAGAGCTGGTTACATGCTTTATTTGATTGAAAGGGCGAAGAAGTGCTTAGATTTTTCAGCCACCCTCTATATTATCCATCTTTTTATATGCCTCGTATATGGAGGTTGGCCTTCCTCAATAACATGGTGGGTTGTGAATGGTACTGGAGTTGCATTGATGGCTTTGCTAAGTGAATATTTATGCATTAGACAGGAATTGAGAGAGATTCCCATGATGTGATACCAATCAAGTAAGAAATAATTCCTGTATATGTTAGATTGACTTCTTAAGATAATTGTAATGTGAAATAAATAATTTTTTTCATTATTCGGTTGCCTGTCCTTTTCTTTTGGGATATGGTTGCAGTGGTATTATCATGCTGGCTTTCCAACTTATTCTTTCTTGAAATTGTGGGATTGCTATTTATTGTCCTGTCATTCTTTATATTTTGATGGTTGGTCTGCACAATTAATTGTGCACTTTATTTGTTGGTCTTATGTTCAATGGGAGTACAATGATTTTCCACATCAACATCATGAAATGATTGGGGCTAATTCATGTTATTTGTCTTTTTGGACGACAGTTGGCTGTTGCAGCACTAGTTTCCCAGTGACTTCCTTCTTGAGTGATCTGTTATAGGCTTGCATCACTAGTTTTTTCCTCTTATTCTTTTCCTTCTATACAATGTTTGTTTTGGGAGCATATCAACTTCAATCATTATAGTACAATTAACCAATCACAATTCAGAATTATGTGGATCTATCAAAATTTTATATGGACCCCACACTTATAATTGGTGGATACCTACATAATTCTTTAATATGATTGGATAATTATAGGATTGTAGTAAAAAGAATTGTAGGTGAAATGCTCCCGTTTGTTTTGGGAGATGTGTTAATTTTGTGGATTTAGATTTAATTATCGGAGAAATCTTGCACTTGCTAAAGTAGTTTTATAACTTGCAACTGCTTAAAAGGTGTTTTGAGAGCATGCATATTTGGTTGAGAAATTTTTTTCTGTTTAAATCAGTGACATTCTTGGAGGCATTTCCCAAAAAAATAAATCCTTTAAATTTTCAACCCATAATTATTAAAAGAATATCCAGTTGTCATGTTATTTAAATAAGAAAATATAAAAGTGATTGAACCATGTAGTCATTGACTGACGACCTTGCTAGTTTTATGGGTTGAAATATTCCACATTATTTACATTTTCTTCTTTTTCAGTTTACAACTCTTACTATTTCAATTGTCATAGTATTGACCGAATTTTGAACCTATTTCATGCAGATGTTTGACTGACAAAGAATCAGGCGTGAAGAAACTCCTTGTGGCATTAAAATTCTTTGTTTTTCACTGCTTTGGAGGAGCTGAAGGATATAATTCTTTAGATATCAAATCTTATCCGCAATGAGAAAAAACTGACTTTAGTTTATGGAATCTATTTGCAGTGCTTCTGGAGACAATATAGAAGTGCTTCTGAAGATGATAGAGAGCTACCTAAAAGTTTGGGATAATGGTGCTCCAGTGAATTGAAGCTGGGGTGCATGAGGCTATGTATACATTTGTGCAAGGGCAATCTAAAGGTACAACTACATGTGACTTTGAGAACTGTTAATGCACTCACTGTTTTCTGATTCTATCTGCATGGTTGATTAGTTTTTCATTCTTTAATACATTGTTCGGTTGAGTTTTTAGGTCTGCATATGATTTGAGAAATTTGGGGTTAATCTAAAAATTTGAGCATACACTACTGACTACTGACTGCTGAGTTATCTGACCTGCGTTTCCCAACCATGTCAATTTCTGACCTTCAGGGAGTAATTCAAACTTGAGATCCATGTCGATCATGTCTTGCGACTTAAGATCATGACCAACTGCCTAAATTTTGATCTGGTGAAAATCCAAAAATAAATTGACTTATTAACATGAAAGTTGATTTAATTTCATACATCCATATGAAATTAGAAGATAAATTTGGAAAACCAAGAGGCATCAACTTGGTTAATTTGGTGGAATGTAAGAAGGCTTCAAAAAACTCTTTTTGAAGAACATAACTTTCATTTCTCCATTAAACCAAAACACAATGTTTCATGGATTTGGGTTTCTCGCAAAAATGAAAAGTAAGAGCAATGTCCTCTCCTATGCTACAACTCTTCCAAGACTGCCAAATTAAGGTCTAAAGGTGTTAGTCCTCTCTTGATTTTTGTTGTCTCCCTAAAATTCTCTGTAAAATCACGGCTGAGGCTTCCATGAAGCTGAGATGTCTCCCACAGCTTCCCCAACTGTGAGATAGAATGAATTCATTCCAAAGGACTCTAAGATTTTGGAGTGATGCAATTTCTCCATTACACTTCCCACAGGGTTTACCAACACAAGCTACATTGGAAGATAAACCATATCAGTCTAGTGTTAACCTCTAGCTAATAAAGAATGTATGTAGTGAAATTCATTGGGTGACAACCATTACCTGAAGTGATCTTTTCTCCAACATTTTTCTTAGTTCACATACCATGTCAATGCCACTGGTGTCTATGGCTGTGACAGCTGAGAAAATTGCAAGACTGTTTGTCAAATACAGTAGGAAATTCTTGGGAATAATATGTTTCACAACCTAGAGTCCTTTTCTGGTTTTTTTTTTTTTCCTGAAATGATAATCAAAGAGTTTTTGGAGTAACTTACGAGTCATGTCAATAATTATACATTTCAAAGTGCTTTCATGGTTTGCCTTAATCCATTCTTCCTCCTCTCTGATCCATCTTAATATCCTATAACAAAAAATTTCCTTCATTGCTCAACAGCATGCTCTTCTATAATCTGCTTGACTGATAAGATGAAAAGGAGTCACTAGTGGAGTTACCTTTCTTGTAGATAAGTTGCATTCGCAAAGTAGATAGGGGATTCGATGGCCAGTATGAGAAATGAAGGGACCCTTGAAGCTTCTCTGTATCTGTTGAGGCTTTGGTATATCTGTGTTCTGGGAATATTCCCCAAGACCACAGTGTTTGGCCTGGTGACATGCAAGAGAATCTTGAATACAGAAACTCCAACCTGCACATTCAGGCCAAGTCATTAGATCCACAGAGAAAAATTGTCGAATTTCATTGCTTCTATTTTATATCGATGCTTTTAACAATACAATACTAGAAGAAGAGGAAGTGAAAGCAATCACTAGGAAGTTAAATGCTTACTGCAATGGCAAGTCCTAGGGGAACAGAAATGAAAAGAACCCCAAAGAAGGAACAAATACAAGCCAAGAAATCGAGTTTGTCAACTTTCCACAATTTGTATGCCGCCTGATAATCAATAAGTCCTATCACTGCTGTTATGATGATGGCTGCTAAGATGACATTAGGGGTGTAGTAAAATAGTGGCATGAGAAACAGCAGGGTCACAAGCACAGCTGTAGCTAATACTATGTTAGAGACTGCTGTTTGTGCTCCAGCATTGTAATTTACTGCAGATCGAGAAAATGATCCTGAAACACGTCGAGGAGAATAGTTTTAGATACCAAGTACCACTTTTCCAGGAAGTTTTATGAAGCCAAATGAGAAAGGTTCGTCACCTGTTGTAATATAACATGAAGTGCAAGAACCAGCCATGTTCATGAGACCAATAGCCAGCATTTCTTTGTTTCCATCAACTTGGTAGTTCCTTAGAGACGCAAATGTCCTTCCCACTGCAATTCCTTCCTACAAAGCATTATCGAACATTTGGACATTAGAAAAGATTAAACATAAAATCACATGGAAATTAGATATCAAGAATGAGGTGCAATGTTATGCAAATCCACATAATTTTTCTGATTCGTTTATATGAGGGTAGGCCATCAATAAAGAGGTTTGGAATCGCACGTCTATGTTGTCCAATAATGTGCGTTAATAACAATGATTTCAGCTATTGTATAAGATATCAATGGCATTGCTGGCTAAGGAAAAGCTTACAGTGAGGGACAGGATCCCTGTGACAATGCCAGTCCTGATAGCTAAAGCCAGATATTGGCCATTAAAGTATAGCATGTTCGATGAAGGTGGATTCAAGCCCTTTTGCAAGTGGCCAATCTGTGAAAGAGAAGGAAAAACACAACTTAGATTTGGGAGAATTTTTCAAAAGATCTTCTTTTACATAAACGTAGAATATGGTATCACTTCTTACAATTGGGATTCCATGAGCTTTGGATTTAATGCAGAAGACTAAAAGCGTTGAGAGAAACACTGATGTTAATGGGGCGGCTGCTGATACCCAGAAAAGCTTTGGTTTCCTCATGCTCTGGATCAACATTTTCAAACATCAAAATTTAAAGAAGTAAACTAGAATCTTCACTAATCATTTTGTTTGGTCAAATAGAGATACTTACAATATGCCTTGCCGTCAACAGAAACAACAGGAAGCTGAATCCCATTACAATAGTTTGCCAGGACCACTGCAGATGAATTTAACCAATATTACCATTGGAACATTTTCTTGAAAAGAATTTTATAAAGGTAGAAAATATCTTTCTACATGAAGCATATAAGCATTAATTAAACTAAATAAAATGAACAGAAGGCATCCAATATCTATAAAAGGCACCTGCCTTCTGGTAATTAATTCAGTGATTGAGTTTATTAGATTAAATCAAAGGGGTAGATTGTCAAAACTTAATCTTAAGCAATGATTATAGAAGCATTTCTAACAATAATTGCCAGATGCTTGGCCGAAAAGCAAGAAGAGCACTTTCAAGATGCTGCTAATTACTAGCATAGTTTACATTCTTCCACAATGTTGGCACCTAGTTATTTAAAAAAGAAGAAAAAGAAAGCGAAAGTTTACATTGGTTTCCCTTGATGAGCTACTTACCTCTTTTTTATGGTCAAATACAGAGGTCACAACAGGAATGAATTGCATCTTGCCAGTGAAATGAACAATTCCAAGCAACCCCTTTAGCTGCTGTAATGAAACAATGACTGCTGCACCAGCCATGAATCCAACAAGAGTTGCCTTGGACAGAAAATCAATTATGAAGCCTAACCTGTAAATCATAAACCAGAATCAATTAAAATACAATAGATAATGAACTGGCTTTTGTCTATGGTCCAATATGTTCAGGAATTCTTCTGATTTTCTATAAATGATCCATAGAGTTTAGGTATTAAGAGACCTATGTTTAAAAGGTATTAAGACAGAATCAATAAGCATTGTGACAACAGTTGTTTTCAGTAATCTTAAGGTTGTCAACACCAACTAATCTTCAAGGAAAATGAGCAAAAACCAATAAAAAATACCTTAAGAGACCCAAAGATGCCTGAAATAAACCAGCAAAGAAGGTAGCAGTGAAAGCTAATTTAAGGTAGAGAATAGGTTCTTCAACAGGGGAAATACTTTCACTTAGCATTGTGCCCATGACTAAGGATGCAATGGACACTGGACCAACAGCAAGATGTCTAGAACTCCCAAGGACAGAATAAATCAATGGGGGAACAAAGCTTGAATCTGCAGGAATTAATGAAAAATTCATATTAAATAAGAGTTAATTTTATTTGCATTTATCCATTATTGAATTCAATTTCGAGACAGCAGTTTTGGTTCTGATACTAACATAGTCCAACAATAGGTGGCAAACTTGCAAGTTTTGCGTAACTGATTCCCTGCAGTCCAACAAAACAAAATCGATTAACATAAAATAATAAGGATTTTTTTTTTCAAATGAGGAATTTGTACAAAAACAAAAAGTGAATATTAATTTGATCCAAAACATGATTTATTCAATCCAATGACCAAGCAAATATCATGTTTGATGTCCAAAAATCATTACCATGTGATATCAACCACAACAGGACATTGAATTAAATTCACGTGAGGAATGACTATTGAAAATGACAACATAATTTAAGTTCAGAACCAACATAATTTTTTTATATAGAAAATGACAACAATAAAAACAAATTAATTTTATTATTAAAAACTATAAAACAAAATTCCAGTTCAGATAAGCCACACTTAGTCACTGATAAACTTTTTAAAGAAAAGCCACTCTAATGATCCATAAGAAAATGGAATAAATTCAGAAACTTGTCCACTAATTTTCATTAGTTGACCAAACCCATAAAAAACCATGAGAGAGAGAGAGAAAGAAAGAGAGATGGTATTGTGCTTTTGTGTTCATGATTGATTACCTGTGGGATTGCAAGGCTAGCAATGGTGACACCAGAGATGATATCAGACCTAAACAGCGTGAGATTATATTCAGGACCCCACTGGAATATTGGGAGCAAAAACTGAAATCCCAAGACCAGTTTCTTACACCATGTTTGGTCCTTGAACCTGTAGAGAGGATCATCAGGGAAAAATATCTCAGAAAGCCTGTGTTTTAGCTTCTGGAAAGTGGTTTTCTTTGATGGCAGGCAAACGTTGTGTATCTCCATTGCCTCTGTTTTTGGCATTGGTATCTCTGTTGAAATCTTCAGAGTTGTTGTTGTTGTTGTTGTACTTCCACCATGGCTATTGAAATCTTCAACCCTGTTAGAGTTTACACCCATGTTTTTTCCTTTTTTTTTTTTTTTTTTGGTGAGGAGCAAAGTTAAGAGTGGCTTTGAATTTATAGAGAAGAACGGAAGGGTATCTGTCAGGTGGTAGCTATAGGGTAGCTATTGGGCAGCTGTTGGTTTTTGTTTGTACGGGGCACCTGGGATAATTTGATATTAGTGAACGGTTTATCGCTTTTATCGATTGAATTTGAATTAATATAATATTAAATTTTAATTTTAATTTAATTTTAAATTTGAAATTTAAAATATAATTTAAACTTGATTATTTTTTATTTTAATTTGAGTTTGATTCAAAATAAAAATTAAATTATTCAAGTTCGTTCGATTAGATTCAATTAATTTATAAAAATAAATTCGATTTTTATATTCGATAAAAATTTGATTATTTATGCTCGAACTCGAATTTGATATATTTTATCAATTAAAATATATTAAAATATAAAAATTTTATTAAGCTCGCGAGTTACTCGAGTCGAATATAAAAATGTTCGAACTTGACTCGATCGATAAATTAAATTACTTGAACTAAAGCTTGACTCGATAATAATCAAATTGAATTCAAATTTTATTTGAATCAAATCCGAATAACTTATGAGTACTAATATATCATTTACAACTCTAGTTTAGTATATGAAATAGTAGTATTTTTAATGTAGTCATTCTTTTGCCACTTAAAATTTCTTCTTTTATTTCAAATTATGATTTTTTATAAAAAAAAAAATAGTAGTATTTTATTAACCACAATGAACACTCTTTGAATGTATCAATTATTTAGTTACAATTAATCAATTATAATTCATAATTGTATGATTTATTTATTTTGATTTATTTAAAATGGCTTTTGGGTTTAATCTTACAGCAGCAAGAGAGAAGAACATGGATGATTCTTGGGGCCATTGGCAAAAAATATTTAGGCGTGAATTATTGTTTTGGATTTGGCTTAGACATTCCAAGTAAAACAAAAGAGACCATGCAAGTTACAGCATAGATTAACATGATCATAATACAAATGGATTAGCATAATAAAAAAAAAAAAAACCTTTTTCTTTACTAAAATGCTGCTTAAAGTTTTCTCCCTCTTAAAAACTTTGCTTTTCTTGGGGTATTTATCAAAGATTTTAGTGCAAAGCTAAAAATTCTAGTTCTGGCATTTTGTTCCCTTGTTATATCCACAACCATCTACAAGTTTCTTTTTGCCAGGCAAAAAAAAAAAAGGGCTTTGTTCTCTTGATTGATGGTTTTTCTTAGCTAAATTGCTTGATATGGAAAACTGTTTAGTCAACAAATTTCACATCCATTTGGACAAAAAAGGAAGGATTTGTGTAAAAATTTATTCATTTATATGAGCTGGAGATTATTTATTTAAAGTATATTTTAACAATATTGAGAGAGATCTCAATGTTGAAAACTGTTTTCCAATTTGTTTAATTTGTATTAGACACCCTATTAATTAAAAGCATATATGACCTAATAATGTCCGCAAGGAAACTTTTGTTGCGTGAAAGTGAAATTCATGAACTAAATATAACTTTTTATCGTGGTAAAATTCTATTCATTAGGAATTACTTAGATGATTAATTTATATATACGTATATTAATATATGGTTTTATGTTATAAGTATATTCTTATACAATATATAATAATACATTAGAATACGTTAAAAAAAAAAAGAAATACGCAAAAGCATTGAGTATATAATAAAAACATTAACACCGAGTAGAATTGTTAATTAATTAAAATATTAATTTTTAATAAATATTAAATTAAAATAATTTAAAATGAAAATGAGTTATTTATTAAACATTATTACTTTAACAATAGATCTCGTAATAAATTTTTTTAAATCATTAAATTTTTATTAGGGAATTGTGAAAAATAGACATTAATCTTATTCTAAGTTTACCTAAAGCCTTGCAAAAAAAAAAAAAAAGTTTAAAGAAAGACAGTGTAACTTTCCAAATTGCTTTGGAATAAGGAATATTGTTTGAAATCTTTCTATTGATATATCTCTTTTGGACATTAATTCCCATTATAATCCGCTCATTTTTTTTTCTCAATTTCAGACAGAAACAAAGAATTACCTAATGCAAAGTTGGAAAGGGTCATCTACCTCCCAAATTTAGCTGCTTGAAGTGAAAGCTATCCTTTCAAAAGGGTCCAAGGGAAGCTATTTTGAGGCAGAGACTACCTGAAAAAAAATAAAATACAAGTCATTACCAAATTTCTTGCGAATCAATCTTTAAAAAAAATCTCAACGGTTAAAATTTAAGATTCTAAGTTATATTTTTTGGAATTAAATTAAGAAATGGAGATGAAATTTTTAAAAAATTACTAATTGATACATGAAGTTGGTATTGTTACATCAATATTATTACTATTATTATAATTTTTGGCTTCTTGATTGAAGTTATAACATGGCCTAATCGAATTAATTAAATAATTAGATTAATGTGTCAATTATTCTCGTTAATAATGGCTTTTTGTAGAGGAATAGGAATATGTCAATATTCCAATTTCAGCTTCCCTTCAAAAACAAGAGGGAGCTCTTTAAAATCAAGACAGTCTAATCGGTGATAGATTCTATAGTTTTTATTTTACTCTTTTTTTTAATTCTTTCTTTTTCCTTCTCTACTTTTGATTGAACATTTATTCTCGACAAAGTTATTTCGCCCTGCAGTTCAATTCTTTTTGTGAACGGTGTTTGAAGAGGGATATTAATTGGATATACCCTTTTTTATTTCATTTCATGCGAGCAACTTTTTGAGCATGAGCGCAGGGCTTGACTGTCTTGGTGCCGATTGATTGGGAGATGTAAATGTGTTTTGATTGGTTTTGGCTTTTGTCATTGTTTTATTTTTATTAATTTTTTTTTATATTACAGATGAAGGATTTGAATTAAAATTTTTTTTTTATAAAGAAAGTTTCGATCTTAAAATAAAAAAAATGAATTACAGTACCTGAAATTTGAATTTTAAACATATTGAATTTTATTTTTTAAGAATAATTATATAAATTAATTAAATTAAATTTTAAATTTCAAATGCATCTATTTGGACATGCAAAAAATTTATATTTATCAAGAATCAAATGCTTGGGTTTTTTTTTTTTTTACTTATACGTACAAAAGGTGAAGAGTAATATTTAGGTATATATACTAAAAAAAGGGGAAAAGAAAATGAAAGTTATTGTTGAACTTAACATTCAATGTGTATTTACCTTGGCAGCGGTATGCATTTGACTATAGTGCTTTGCTAGAGAAGAAATTAAAACATCAGAGGAAAGCAAAACAATCTGCACATTTCATTAAAAAAAAAAAAGTGGAAAATAAAACCCGTCAGCTTGTTTTACTTCTGGTTACAAACGGGTTGGTTCCAATTTGACCAAAGTCGACCCTAATTGAAAATCGAATCAAAACCAATTTGATTGTTCAGTGTTACCGAATATGAATATTTTTTTTCTTTGGTTCATTGCATGTGTCGTGTTGCCTGTTATTCATGTCTTCATCAGTGCTGCAAATAGTTTTGGGAGGATAATGTTGTGTACGTATGGAACACATCACACTAGGGCATTGCTTGATGAGATCATAAAAGAGCGGAAGAATGGAAGGCAGTTGATGGAAAAGTGAAAAGAAAATTATTTTCGTTGGTGTTTGGTAATAGAGAAAATTGAGAAGAAAAAAATTACGAGAGGTGATCATTTTCTATCTTTCTTCACAAAATAAATCATTTCAAATTGGAAAGACATGAAAGGGAGAAAATTGAAAGACATGTAAGTCAAGTGTTATATATCTACAAGATTGTCCCTCATTATTTAGATTTTACATTTTTTTTCTTAAATTATAAAAGGTATAATGGTAAAATAAATTTTTTTCATTTTCTTTATTTTTCAACCCTCTATAATTTTTTATCACCAATAAAAATAAATATATATTTTCCGCCTTTTCAATTTTTTTCCTCCTTCAATTTTAGCTTTTCATTTTTTCTATATATCCGGTCATTCACCCTACCAAACAAAGCCTAAAATAAAGCTGAGCCCCACATAGTTGAGAATGCAGAAGCTGAGGATCGTAATTGAGTCAATGTGGATTCCACTCATGGGTAATGTGAAAACAACGAAGAAGACAACAATATCTCTGGCCCCGATGAGGTCAAAGAGAAGGGATTTTGGTTGAAATATAGCCTATAAACAATATCGCGTTGTGGATTTTAACTAGAGAACCTTTCTTCCATGAAAGAAAATAAAAAAAAAAAAAATTTGGGGTGCCTTTCTTTTGACCAACAGTCAATTTAGATGTAGCCCTACCATTAGCAAAGATATAATGTACTTTTGCATTGCCTTTGTTATATTTATCAGAAAAATAAGGTATGACAAGGGTACATGGTCATAGGTTCACTACTAATCAACTTAATCACCCTTTAGTTATCAAAAGAACATACTTGGTCTTTCTATCAAAAAGAAAAACAGTATATTCAGTATTCTTGCATTGGATTTCTGTCGATCAACTTCTCTTGTTTAATTTACAGCAGACTGCAGACAAGTTTGATTAATTATAAAACCATGGTTAAAGGTCCAAGTTCATGATCATTGGGAGGCCATCTGTTCCAGGCGGCTAGTTTTTATTGGGATTTGCCTCATGGCATTTCTCAAGGGTTACTTTTTTTCTTTTTTTGTTCTTTTTTCACGGTCACCATGATTTTATAATATTTTGTACACTATAAAGCACTGAAGAAAAAGTTAGAACCAATGTTGAAACCTGTCAAAATTCATGTTTCGATCCTCAGGCCAAGAATCGCCGACAGTCAAAAGTTCACGCCTTATTGAACGATCAGTGATTTGTCTTCCCACAATATAATATCATGAACCTCTAATATTTCCAAGGCAAAAGAATTTTTTTTTTTTTTTGACTTTGGTTGGATATATGCAAAGATCGAGTAGATTCTTTTTTTCTAGCTAAAGACACCTAATTCACCTATATGCGGCGAGATGTAGAAGCCTGTTGATTGCTACCTATAAATGGATTGTAAAGGTAGAGCAATTTGTTAAGCAATTTATTTGTTCCCACAACCGATGAACCAGAATTAAGCACAATATTCTTTGGCAGTGTTGGCAGGATTTGATAAGGCAGAAATGGTGTGCCATTACTGGGAATCTGACTGATTATTATAGCAAATTTAGACCAGTTTCTGGGGTCATTATTTCAACAGCTAAAATGCTATAAATTCAGGTATGTGGCAGGAATTCTTTTTTTTTTTTTTTTCAACTTTTAAATAAGCAGTTATAGTTTATGCTTGTCTTTGCAGAGAAGATTGCCCTTTAGATAGACTAAAGTGAGAAAAAAAGCCTCAGTTCCCATTTGCAACAGTGTTCACGTCTGTTCCAATTCTGTTCAATCATTTTGAGCATAATAAACAGTACATAAAAGCATACCAGATTTTCCCACAGGGATTAACCATGTAGGCAAGTGGTACTCTCCACATTCTATGCCAAGTTTCAACTTCCTGACACTGGTAATCTATTTAAGAGCCACCTAATGGTTGACAGTTGCCCACATCACGTGCTTTTAGACCGAGCTGTTCTGGAGGAAACTTACATGGCTAAACAAGAATCCCAGGTTGGATAGAGAAGTGTTTGCAATTTTACTTGTTTTAATCATAAACGTATCTCTAAAGTATAATTAATAAAAAAATTTGAAAGATAAGTAGACAAATACTAGGCCCACACGCTTTCTGCAGGATGCCATTTATGGGGAAGTTGAATGGGAATTTCAAAAAGATTCCATTGTGGCTATGTGCCTGAAAGAACACACTTTCACTGGTTTGTAAATTTGGAACTTTGAGACCGAGTGTCTGGGCATATCAGTCCTTGTCAGGCAAGCAATGCCTGACATTGTAGTGCTTGACTAGGGTCCAACTCTAGTTCAGGATGAAGATGGGTAGCTCATAGAGGACATTGAGAAGGAACTGTGAGTGGACAGGTTTATTCCTGGTATATTCCATTCCATTCAAATTTTGTGCAAATCACTTTTACAAAGTAGTTTCTGATCTATGATCATACCTAATTGACTAATTTTCTTTCGTGTGTAGTTTACTAATACTTTAGCCTCCAATTGATCCAAGTCAACTGAGGCGATTGATAGAGATATTTAGATATGAATCTTCACATTTTATTACCATTAATTAACAAGCATTAGTGGAGAAGGCATTAAACCCTTGATTTTGATTTAAACCATAGGTGTTATAGGTCTAGACTCTTGAGACGAGTCACAACTCAGGGATGAACCCTCACCATTTGACAGGCTATTACCACTTGGATTTGGCCTTGTTTGCATGATCACAACTTATAATAATATTTTAGCATTCAAACATACCAATTCACCATTTGACAGGACGTGTGGGATTGAACATGATACCTAACTGCTATGAAGATTGTTAACAACATTGAGAAATCGATCATAAGAGGTAGAAAATCAGGACTGTCTTCCATTTTCCGATTGTTTTATTCATCCACCATGATGTTCATTATGTTTCATTGCTCTGATCACAAAAACAGATTTTATTAATTTCCACTTTTTGCCTTTTCAAAGAACTCATGAAATTGTGCTTTTTAGTTAGTTGAAGAATGATTCACGCTAATTAAGTTCTTGGTGATGATGATGATGATGGTTCAAGGGGTATACTTCCATATATTGTTGAATGACCTGGTGTTTAATCCATAGAAAAAGAGATCTGTTGTACCCCTTTTGCTCTCTCTGTCTCTCACCATGACAGACGTACACTTGACTTTTGCTGATCTTGCATCTTACTCGTACGTATGTATGTATATGCATATTCAAAACAGTCTACCATTTACTGGATTTGGTCCATATATACAGGATTACTGTCCAGGAAATACAAAAAAAAAAAGAAAGGAATAGCATAACAAAGGCTTTGCAAAGTATTTGGCCTAATGAAGTTGTAAAGCTGTAGCTTTTACTGCCTTGTGATCTGTGAAAGCTTTAGGAACAAATGTCACATTTGGCAGGGAATAAAAGAAGTGAAAAGATGCAAAAATTGTTTGGTCCAACCAATAACCAAATATTCTTTTTGTTTGGAGCAAAGAAAAACTATAGATTTATTCTGTTGAAAATGAAAAATGCCTATGTTTCTATTTGACCAATCTCAACTTTGGCACTTTGCTTCCGTACAGTATTGATGTAAATATCATGAGACCTCTTTCATTAGCTCTTAGCTTTATTTTATGCTTATTATATGATTCGTTTTAGCAACTGTCACCTCTTTGTTCTTCTTCCTTCAAGGGGGAAAAAAGCCTTTGGATGTGGCGGAGACAATAAGAATATTTTTCATGCTTTATCTGTTTTTTTTAATTTTCTTTTGATAATAAATATTTTATACCAATGAGATCACAGTTTTTAATCAAAAGATTGCAAGTGTCCGTGGCGATTACCAAATTTGTTTTCAAGAGTATCCATTTATAAAATATATAAAAATTTGTAAACAAAATTTTTAAATAATATATTATTATATTATTTAATATATGTAATCAAACAATTATTCAACCAATAATTGTAGAGGGATTTATTTATTTTATGGCAAAAAAAGTATTTAAAATATTTTTGAGATATATTTTTTATTTTTTAATCTTTGAGATATCTATGAATACTTTAATAATGAAATTTAAACCCAAGCTTAGCGCCGCGTCTAATGATCGCATGGAGAGGTCGTCAATGTATAATCTTATTTTATTCTATTGTTTGGGCTAGGGGAATATTCCAGTAATTTTTCTTAGTTTCTCAGGCCCACTACTAAAATCTAACAGGCCATTGTGTTAAGACAGAATGATGGCTAGCTTAGGATATTACTCCTCACACTGGAACAAAGCAAAAGCCCAATGAAGGAAATATAGAAATCATCTAAGCCGGTCCTTTCCTAGTGTTGAGTGTAAATGAAACTAAAATAAAATAAAATAAAATAAGATTATTGGCTGGAACTTTGAAGTATTAATCAAACTGCGCCGGAGGCCTAAAGAAACGTATTCTTGTTTATAAGCTCACTAATATTGTCAATATTTATTGGTGGCACCAACTGTATATTTGAAATAAACTATCAAAGTCTCGCATCTTTCATTTTTTGAAAGAGTTAGTTTAGTAATGTAAGTAAACGTGTTATTTGTTAATAAAATATTAAAATTTAATTATTTAATATTTCAAATATTAAAAAAAGCACAAGTAGAAGTGAACTCTTATATTCATTGAAATTTATAAAAGTAAAATCCTAAACTTGGTCTAAATTTGATGGAAAAAAATTCGTTTGGCTAAAAACATAAAAAAAAAAAAAATTACAGATCTATTTTCAAATTTGTTGAAAAGTCGTGTCTATCATTAGTTAACTTATAAAAACGAGGAGATGCAAATGCAATGAACTCTTCCCATCTTTTTCCAAAGGAAATTGAAACGAAAATCACAAATAAAACCCTAAAAATATAAGAGAGAAAGGGACAGAAAAAAAAATTTTCTGTTTCAAAACGTTTATCATATATTAATTTTTATATAATTTTAAAAAATTATTTAATATATTTAATATTAAATTTTAAATTTTTTATAAAATTAAATTTCGTAATTTTTAATATAAAAAAAAACATAAAAATTAAAATATAATTTTAAGACATTTCAACAAAAAAGATTAAAAAAATAGACAGAGAGAGTACTTACTGTATAAAAATACCATATAGGGAAAGTCAAAGCCACGGACCTTTCCTATTATTTTCCTTATTCATTTTCTTCATATCAGCATGAGCTTCTCCGAAGCAACCCCCACCATTTTTGTTTTTTCTTATCAACATGGTCAAAACAACGAAGCACCTCAAAACTTAAATATACACCGTCGATTCCAACGCGTCCTAATAATCAACGGAGCAGACCACATTGAATGACAGGGTAGGGAAGACAGAAAAGAGTGAAAAGTCTTTGGCGACGGCAGCTTTGTAAAACAGAAACATGATATTTTCCTTAGCGGCAAAGCTTCCCCATACTATATAAGGAGTTCTTGCCTTAAAACCCCTTTTACTCTCAATTCGATTTCAGTTACAAGAAATTTCGGTTTTAAACATTTCTCTTTTGCCAACAAAACCAACTTTGAAAATGGTAAGACTTTATTTGTCATATAATTAGTTTTGTTTGTAAAGTTAGCAATTCCATGATATATATATATATATATATATGCTTCTTCTTGTAGTTAGCTTTATGGCTTGCATTTTTTTATCAAGTTTGTTTTATCATAGTCTAAGAAAAAATAACAAGTAAATATAAATGAATTTCATTTAGATGAATGGTGGAAGAATTCAAAAATAAAATGATAAAATGACAGCTTTTGTACGATAGAAATATTCCATCATCCATTCAATTGAAGCATTAAAAGATAATTTGATATCATGACAATTTGTTCATAATAATGAGCATACGAAAATTAAATTTATTTGAAATGTACAACTTTTTACTGATAATAATCTTGTGTTTTCCCCCTTTATTTGCATGACTATTTTGGTGCGAGGCAGGCTCAGTCACTTAAATTTGAGGTATACTATGATTAATCTTCTCTTTCTCTTTGTTTGAAATATATACTAATGTATTGTGATCAAGCTGTTTTACTAAGTTTGATTTTGATTTAAAATAATCTTTGGTGCAGAAAGAATTCGTTCAAACTTCAGAGAGAGTGAAGGCTGTGGATCTACATCCAACAAAACCATGGTAAATTGATGGGTTCTATTAAGCATTTGCTCTTATATTTTCCCTTTCTTATACTTCCCAAATCTCCTTCTTATTCTCTGCATAATTCAAGTTATGCTCCAATCACCAAAAGCCATAGCTAAATTGCTAAGGACCATTGAAAATTTCACTGTACCAAGCGTTTTACATGACAAATTTTCATGCAGGATTTTAGCCGCTTTGCATTCAGGAACTGTCAGTATTTGGAACCACCAGTTACAGGTAAGACATTCTACTGTTTTTCCTGATAAGAAGACTATAGTTAACTAAAATGCCTTAAAAAGAATCTGGAGTTTAACTCTGTTAGTTCATGCATTCACTCTTAAGTATTTAATGTTGGGTTCAAATCTCAGCACATATAACACTTTCTTTTACTCCATACTTCATTTATAAAAATAAAAATAAAAAAAAAAGCACGGCCTCATTAAGTTCTTGCTAGTACTAACTCAAATTCCCAATGCTGCCGTAGAAAATAGAGAAGTCCATCAAGGTCACCGAATCACCAGGTATGGTCGTACACACACATAATTTCTGTTCTCTAGTAATTCTCTCTTGTTATTAGCTAAGATAGTCTTTAACGTATGTAAATATGTGGTTACAGTAAGGTCAGCAAAGTTCATAGTGAGGGAAAACTGGATTGTTATTGGAGCTGATGATGGATTTATTCGTGTCTACAACTACGATACAATGGAAATGATCAAAGAAATCAAGGCACATACAGATTACATTAGGAGTCTGGCTATTCATCCAACCTTCCCATGTATGTTGTCGTCCTCGGATGACAAGCTTATAAAGCTGTGGGACTGGGAGAAGGGTTGGGTTTGCAGTGGTGTCTTCGAGGGCCATGAACATTACGTGATGCAAGTTGCATTCAATCCAAAAGACTTCAATACTTTTGCAAGTGCATCACTTGATGGGACTGTAAAGGTACCTTCAGAGAACTTGCTAATTTATTCCAAACAAGTGTTAGATTGTTCAACCTTTTTTTCCTCCAATCTTCAGATTTGGAATATGGATTCCTGTTCTCCAAATTTTACATTGGATGCACATTCGAAAGGGATTAATTGCATTGAACACTTCATGGCTGGTGATAAACCATTTTTAATTAGTGGTTCTGATGATTACACTGCCAAGGTTTGCAATTTCGACCAAAAACTCTTTCTTAAATGTGATTTCTGCATCTGGTCTAAAATTTGAAATACACTCCCTGATTAATCATTTTTAAACAGGTATGGGACTATGAAACCAAAAGTTGTGTCCAAACGCTAGAAGGCCATACGCATAATGTTACTGCAGTAAGTGTCCACCCAGAGCTTCCCATTATAATTACTTGTTCTGAAGATGGAACTGTTCGTATATGGGACACAACAAGTTACAGGTAATTTTCCTGTGCAGTTAATAACTTTTACTATACTCTAAGGTCCAATTAAGTCTTCCGAGAATGAGAATTTTGCAGCAAACCTCAAGGATTTCTGACTCCTACTTTCATATTTGTTGCATAATACTGGATCTTTTATCATATTCTTGTTATGCTAGTTCACAGCCTCCAAAGTTGTTAATCAATCTATTGACTTACAGGCTTGAGAACAAATTGGAATATGGTCTTGAAAGAGTCTGGACTGCTGCTTTCATGAAAGGTTCTAGCAAGTAAGTCTCCTGACATTTGTTTCTCTCTTAGATGGTCAGTTTCTAGTCAGATTTATGGTTCCAACTCTCTGTTTTAATTGAGCACCATAGCCATTTTTATACTTTCCCCTTACTTACATGGCTACTATGATAACAGAGTCGTATTTGGATGCGATAAAGGGACAATTGTGGTCAAAATTAGTCGCTTCCATGACTCGGATTCTACCATTGTTTGACGCAAAGAAGTACTGGCTTGCGTTGTCTATCTTCAGCTTGAAGATGAAAAATGATTACATTTACTTGTTTTTATGCTCCTCCCATTAGTGTGTCTAACCAGGAATAAAGGCTTCTCTGGGCTTCTAATTAAACTGGATTTGTCATATTTTAGTTTGTGCTTGTAGTGTGGTTCTATAAATTCCAAGGAAGAAATGTCATATGCAATAGTGTTGATGATCCAATGTGCAAATGCAGTTCATTTAGTATAAAACAGCCTTCTGGTTCTATGCTTTGAAGATCTTTCCTTCTTTTTACTGATTAAAGGATCTTTTGACTGGAAACTAAATTATTTGGAAGAACCAATATTTAAACTTGAAGTTTAACTCAATTAGTTTATATAATCATCTCTTTATCATTTAATAGATTTGAAATTTAAATTTTAACATATGCAATACTTTCCCTTATACCCAACCTGTGATATCTTCTGCAAAAAGGCATCCCAATTTGTATGTAGGAGAACAAAGCTTCATATTTCATGCTTCCAAGTGCTATTACCACCCTCAGGGAGAAAAACAGAGAGATTGGCAACTTGGAATCTGATCATTGACCAGCCTAAAAGATAATAGGAATCTAATTAAGTTGTCACCGGATTTTAAACAGAGTGAGAGAGGTTTTATCAATTATGAATGCAATTCAGACTTTCAGTGGACAAAAATGAATTACTGTGTCATGTTGAAAAGTTTAAATAAGGTAAGCCAATACCATATCCACATCAATATTCTTGATAAATTGCCCTGAATCTGTCTCTTCCCGGTGAATATTTGTTATTTTACCATTTCCTTTCTCTTAAAAAGGAAAGAATTATAATCAAATTATATGATCACTAATACTTGATACAATTTTATATTCTTTTTACCTTCATTTATAGTGGAGGCCACAAAATAACTTAGATCCAAAAAAATTGAATTTGAACGATTCTAATTTGAAATGACTTGCATCTCAATAATTTAAATCCAACAAAATTTAAATTTGAAATAATCCAAACTCCAAAAAATTCAAACTCTATTTAAACTAAAAAAAAATGTTGAAATGATTTTTTTTTTTATAAAATCTAAAAAATAACTGGATTAGCATGAACCTAGACATAAAAAAATTTGAATTAAAAAATGTTTAAATATAAATTATCCAAACTCAAAATAACTCAAAAATAAATTGCCTAAAATCTGACCGGACATGAATCTCACATGACTGGAACCATCCATTTGCCACCTCTAAATATAGATCATATAAAACCTTCCATTTAATCAAAGGGACTGTTATTGGTTTAGTTCTCCTTCATTCCAGGAATCTCCGAATTAATTGCATCCTTAATTGACCAAGGGTTCCAGGCTTAAAAATTCAGATTTATATATGTTTCAAAGCACATCAAATTAGATAAAAACATAAAGGGAGGAATCTGGAAGAGAAGAAGGCAGGCAGCCATGGACAGAAACAGAGGAAGCAAAGTTGTTTTAGTGCTTGTGGTAACAGCCATGATTACGATGATGATGTTCGCTACAAGCGTCGAAGCAGTGCCCTTTCGCTGCGCTCTAAAATGTCAGCTTAAGTGCGCTGCTAAAACAGGACTAGGTCGAGCAACCTGTACGGACGATTGCTTAAAACAATGTGACACCCCAAAGCCCAAAGCGCCATCGGATCTTCACCGCTGTTCTGACCCCGGCTCTGGTAAGTAAAAGATATCTTTCTATAAAGCTTTATGATTGAAAAAAGAATTATTATAATTACAATTGAAAAAAATTAATAATAAATTTATATTAAATAAATTTCATTAGAGTTAATATTTGAATTCAATTGTATTACTAAAAATTTATCCTGTTGAATCTTGTTATTATAATTTTATTTTATGATTATATTTATAATGAAATCTTTCAAATTCACTTTTTTTAAAGAAAAAATAAAATATATATTGAAAATTCAAAAAAATTATTAAAATATAAAAACAATATATATTTTTTTTCCAAGATAAATAGTACAAATATAAGCCTTTTGGTTTGTGTCAATGGTTCATTACCTCTCTCGAGTATGGTTATTTGATTCATTAGGAAAAATTCAATGGTTAGGTACATAAAAGTACTCTTTTGACAGATCTAAATACTATATTTTTTCTATTTAATTTTATTAGTATTTATTTTCACGTGCATTTTACGTTAATACTGATTGTTTTATCTATTTGAACATGTATTTGTATACTTTATGAATAAATGAAAATAATAAAGTGTATATTAATGGAAATTTTTATTAAAATGTAAATTTGTTTCATGTGAAAATTATATCAAATTAATATAAATTTTATTATTTTAATGTCAATGAAAAATAAAAATTAAAAAAAAGATAAAGAAATTCAATTTAAACTTTAACTCTTTTTTATTTATCAAATAAATTAATTTACTTTTTAAAATTAATGAAAAATTAAAACTCTAAAATAAAACAATTCAAATTAAATTTTAACTCTTTTTTATTTAGTATCAAATAAAATCCATTCAATAAAAGTTTTTAATGAAATTAAAATTCTTACTTAGAAATTAAATAAATTTTACTAATAATAAAAAATATTTACAGTTATAATTTAAAAATTAAGTGTATAACAATGATAATTTTTATCCATTTAAAAAATTTTTTACGGTCATATGTATATATATATGTGTATATATTTTTTCGTATTGTTATTTTTCTTGACTCTTGTATTGATATATGGATGATGGATTCTTAATTTCTCATAATTGTTAATTTGTGTTGGGAAAATTGCAGAAAAAGTGGGTGGCTGCTCAAATTAATGCTACAAAAATTGCAGCAAGCTCTATCCATCTGATTAGCATTTGTGCAAAGTGGAAGACAGGGAGAGCAAATTGATGCTCCTTTGACTTTGTTCTGCCAGCTTGTCCACTTCTTTTTTTTTTTAACTTTATATTAATTATTATATTAAGATGATCTTAAAAAAATGAATTTTAATCACCTATAAAAAATACTACAACAAGAACATGTATTGTGGCAAGAAAAACAGTAATACTAATGTACATGTGGATTCAGGGTTTTTTCAAGGGTATCCGTTTGTATATAGATAAATTGTTATGAATTTATTAATTTTATCGACAAAAATAAATTTTAAAAGTGTTTGAGAAAATTTTTATTAATTTTTTAATTTTAAAAATGTTAATAAATACTATTTCTAAATGTGGATTCGACCTTCTCTCTCTCCTTGATCACTCAGCCAATATTTTCCTATCATTTCAACATTTAGTTATTGAAATTGAATCAATCTATAATTTGGATCTCATGGTTACCAAATTGACAAATTGATAGAAAAAAAAAAAAAACATAGGCTAATTTTTAAAGAAAGATGTATGAATTCAAATTTTAATTCAATTAATTTATAAAATTAATTTTAAATATAGCATTCAACAATTTTGAAATTGAAATTCTAATATTTACAACTTTTTTTTGGCTTCTTTTATAAAAAAGAGGCTAAAACTATTAATCATGTAGTCTTTTTTCATAGTTGATATTTTTGTTATTTATTTTTAGTTTATATATAAAATATCTCTTGAATTATAATTAAATAACTGTTAAAGTTCTTATTATTTTATTATAATTAATTAAATCTTTCAAATATTTATTTTTATTCAATTGAGTTATTAATTGGACAAATTGCTAAATGATCGCAACTAATTTTTGTCAAATTAAAAGTTTGATTAAATAAAAATAAATGTTTGATAGTTCAATTTGATTAAAAAATAAGTAGATAAGAATTCAATTGATCACAGTAAAATAATAACCGCTTAAATAAATATTTAATTTTAGTTAAAAAGCTTTTTTATATTTAAGCCTTTTTTTATTGTTTTTTTAAATGATATGGACCCTCGATCTTTTCCTTTATTCGACTATCATTCTGATCTTATTAGGATATTATTTATTTATTACAAAATAAATCATACTTTGAAAATATAAAAATAAATTATAAATATTGAGATTTAAATTTAAATTTATTAAATAATATTTTTTAAGAAGATACATAAATTAATTAAATTAAATTTTAATTTTTTATTACAAATTTATTTGAATACAATTTTTATTTTTTATTTTTTAAGATTTATCAAGTTTGAGGAACTCAATCAATGCACAAAGTATCAAACAAGTAACCAAAAAATGGACCATGGTGCAGACATGATCTTTGACATCCGCCGTTCAAATTTTGTGGAATTCTTGAAGGAATAAGCCATGACTATTAACTGGCTGACAATGGGTTTCCACGATTACAATTTTTTCCAACCAAAAGGCAAAAGCCTGACTTAAGAGAGCCGAGTTCTTTAAGAGGACAGAAACTCAAAACAAATATATATATATATATATATATATTTATTTATATAAAATAACTTTGCATTAAAATAGTAAAAAATTAAGTTATTTTTATGACAAATATTTTAATGAAGTTTCTAAAGTGAAATTTATAAAATTTTTTTATAAAATTGAATAAAATAAAAATTAAAATAAAAAATTTAACTGATAAATTAAAAGATTTTTTTTACATATATTTGATTTTTTAAATAAATAATTTTATTAAAAATTTGATATGATTTTTATCATTAAATAATTATTGATTAAATTTAAATTATAAATAATATTTTTATATTATTAATTTTTTTATTGAATCTATCAATGAAATTTCAAGGTCTTTACCTAATAAATTTCGTCTTTCTTTACATTCTTACTTTTTTTACACAAATGATTAATTTTTTTACATATTTAAATATATCGTAATTATTAAAATTAAAAATTCGCTTCTTTACTCCTATTTTGCTTTTTAAAGTGTTTATAAGAATACTTAGCAAAATTCTTTATTTTTTCACTTTAATTTGTTATCCTTTATCAACTTTATTTGTTATTTCTTTTTTTTTTTTGTTTTATTGTCTTGTACTCTTTCTCATTTTTTCACTCACCAAACAACTATTTTAACTTATCATACCCAAATTGGAATTAATATATTATTTCATTTTAGATTGAAATCATCAAATATTTTTAATTACAAATATAAATTTCATAAAAAAAAATTATATTTATATATAAAAAATATTAAGTTATCGAATAAATAAAATAAAATTTAAACTTAAAATCTTAAAATTTTGAAGTTTTTTTTTACACTATTAAATCAAAATTTCATTTAATGAAATTAACAATTGTTAAATAGAAGATTTGAAGCCTTATTCTATTCAATAAAAAGTTCAAAACCAAAAATTATCTGTAAATAAAAGCGGTAACGATAAGTAATTTAAAAAAAAAAAAAACGGAAAGGAAAAATAATCCGATCCAACCCGATTCAATAATGACCCAATATTCTAACGGGTCAGCTGTCACTCTCACGTATAGTACCACGTTGTTCCCACATCGCAACAACTTTCCTAATGCCAAAAATCCCCACCGTCCGTTTCAACACATCAGAACAATCGATCGCCGTCTATCCACTTCTTACTAATACACCATGGCTTAACCAAGGCAGCGAGTGGTACTTCCGTAAATCTATCCCTTAACTCCAAAAGCATTGCCTCTCTCTCTCTCCTTCCTACTCATATTTTTTACCTTACCACACACAGAGAAGAGTTCTCTTTCTATTACATTACACCTATCAAAAACCTCTCTCTTTCTCCCTCTGGATCTCTCTCTCAAAACCCCGATCTCGATCCAGAGCTTCTTCTTTTTCTTTAATTTTTATTTGCAAGAATGGTGAGTTTTATTTCTCGGTCTGTTTGATTCCGCATTAGATCTGGTTCAAATCCCCTTTGATTTGCACTCAACACTCAATTTTCCGTTTAATTTATGAAATCGGTGACGGGAAAATTTTCGAATTGTGTTTTATTCGAGTTTTACTGGCTTTGGAACGTCGACGTTTTTTGTTCTCTACGCAGCAGAGCTGGAGAGTTAGGGATTTGAATATAGTTGAGATCTGTCGCTTGTTTTTTCTTTTCTCTTGTTTTGAATCTTTGAATATGAATGCGGCAA